AACTAATTTTCATTTCTTTTACTATAAACTATGTTTGATTATAACAATCATTTCTTTGACAAAAATTATTTTTTACCTAATCATTCTCAGATTAGAATACACTATTACGAATCGAAGATGGGACGATTAAAATCGATTGTCACACTTGAATTGAAAATAAATATATATATACATGTATACACGCACATAAAATATAGTGAATGTCGATGAAAGGCCATACCGCCGACACGATAATGATGACCCCAAAAAAGAATATGAGAAGCGAGAAGCTCTTTCAAAAGAGGAGTTCGCGATGAGACAGAGAGAGGATGTGGCACAAAAACGGTACGCTGTGTATACATATATATATATACTGGCCATCAAGTTTCACTGTGTTAAATTAACCGATTGCCGGACAAATCGATTGAAACGATCAGATAATATTTCCCAAGGAATGTAGTGCACCTCTCAAAACTCTTGGAGAGATATATTCCGTGTGCGCGAGAAAGTTACATTACCAGGGGTTTTACCAATTTCAGAACTTTAAGTGAAAAAAAAAAAAATGTCAATCACTCGGAAAAAATATGTTTCATTGCCGCGTTACTCAAATATATACGATCTTTTCTTTTTAGTTTATATGATCATTGGTAGAGATTGATTTTCAGAGAAAACAACTTTCAAATTTATTTCAACAAATATTTGTTATTGATTCTCTAATAACAATTTTGTTAAAAAAAAAAAAAATTCTCATTTGTTTTTCACTTTCCCCAGATAGCAGGTAAGCTTGCGGAAAGATTGCCAGGCAAGTTTGCGGTGCGAGCTTGTTGCAAGATTACCACAAGCTTCAAATGTCCCACCTGTGGCAAGCTTGCGTATTCGGAAAATTCGAAGCAAATTGGCTGCAAAGTTGCTGCGCAAGATTACTCGGCAAAATTGGCGTAACTTTGCAAAAATCTTTCGGCAAATTTGCTGAAAGTTATCTAGTAGTTAAAAAAAAATGAAATAAAAAACCAAAAAAAATTGCTGCGCAGCTTTAAGTGCCGTAGGATTCAACTGCGCATCGTTTAAAGTTCCGCAAACTTGCGCAGCTAGCTTAGTTCGTCCATGAGCAGCAATTGCAAGCTTGCGCGATGAGGCGTACTATCTGGGTTTAAAATTTTTAAAAAAGTTTATTTTATTTATTATTAGGTATTAATTAATATTTATTATTGAGTATTATTAATTACTGTTAATTACTATTAATTATATTATATAATTATATTATTCTGGTTTTTTTTTATTATTTGTTTAAAGTTCCTAAAATTTGTTGATATAAAAAATATTTTTTTTTTAATTTTTTTTTTTTTTTGTCTAATGCTGTTGATATAAATTTGACCCAAATAGAAATGTTCAATCAATAAATAAACGTAAGACCATTCATCATTTCTCCTTGAAGAAAATATGTAAATTTTAAAAGAACATTATACATATATGTTTCAATAGTTGTTATTGAGAAATTTATATATTTCACTGATATCAATTTTATATTATAATCAGTGATTTTTTTGATTTGAAAAAAAAAATATTTTTCTTTTTGACAAATTATTGATATATATTAACAACAGTTTACAAAAAAAAAAAAAAGGAATAAAAGTGGGAAAATTAACGTCGGATAAATGGAAAAATTATGCTCGTCTTGACTCCTGGGATTTTTGATGGCTGATTATATATACTTTTCTTTTGCGGTCTCTCTCTCTCTCTCTCTCCCTGCATATGATGAAGAAAAGACGGCTCACTATATACACACTCCCAGAATTGTCCTGTTAGTTCAACTAAATTGTTATTGCCGGCATATCCGCTTTTGCTTTCACCATTCTCGCCGCGATGATAATCACCTAGATAAAAGTTGTATCGAACAAAGCGGAAGGAGGATTTATCGGGAATGATAAATTTTAATTGTTATTCAATGATGTGAAATTTCATGTGTCACTCATAATAATAATAATAATAATTATGTAGTATATTACATTTTTGCAAAAAAAAGAATAATAAAAATCCAAATTATATATAAGTATATAATAATATAAATTAAATACATAATAATATAATAATAAATAATAAATAATAAATAATAATAATAATAATAATAATAATAATAATAATAATAATAAGGAATCTGTATACAAATTTCCCAAAAGTCCCTAAGCAAAAAAAAAATAGTAATATAATTATAAAAAAAAACAGAAAATATATCTAAATCATAAATAAATTAATAAAACACGAGCGAATTAAACGAACTTTAATTAAAAATGTAATTTTTGTATAAACTTTTATATATTTGCTCCGATTTGCACCGGGAAATTTAATATCACATATCAGAATGTATGTATTCCTTATATATTAATTGCTTGCACCGTTAATTAAAATGAAAAAAATATATTTATATATCTATAACTGTTTTATGTAATTCAATTCGGTTATTTTGAATTTCTATATTGATTTTAAATTCCGTCGAATGAAGTTACAATTTTTTTTTGTTTAAATTATCCTTTTTTTCTTGAAGAAATATTCGATTTTAATTTATTTCTATATATATATTTATATTTGCGAATTCTACATTTAGTGTTACAAAAAAAAAATATTTCACTCTCCTAAGGTTAAAACAGACTATTTTACATACTAGGGTTAAAAAAAGCTAATTTTACTCCCTAGGACTAAAAACTGTTTTATTCCCTAAAGTTAAAAAAGGCTACTTTACTTCCTAGGATTAAAAAAAAGCTATTTTTTACTGTAGGGAAGAAAATGGCTTTTTTAAATCCTAGGGAGTAAAATGTCTTTTTGTCCCTAGAGAATAAAAAGACATTTTACTCCTTTCGGCTAAAAAAAGCAATATTCTTCCCTAGAGAAATAAATGTGAAAATACCTTTTTTTAATTCTAGGGAGTAAAGTACTATCTTTTAACCCTAGGGTTAAAAGACATTTTTCAACCTTAGGGGTAAACAAAATATTTTACTCCCTAGGGTAAAAAAGAAGCTTAGGGCTGAAAAATAGTTTTATCCCTTAGGGCTAAAAAGTCATTTCTAGGAAGTAAATTAAGTTTTATATCCTAGGGAGTAAAATAGTCTTTTTTAATCCTACGCCTAAAAAATTGTTTTATTCCTTAGGGACAAATAGACATTCTACTCCCTAGGGTTGAAAAATACTTATTTTACTCCCTAGTACTAAAAAAGGTAGTTTCGAATTTATTTCTCTATAGTTTTTTTAGCCCTAGAGAATAAAACCTTTGTTATGTCCTAGGAAGTAAAACATACTTTTTAACCCTAGGGAATAAAACAGTTTTTTTTAACCATTGTAAGTAAAATATATTTAATTTATTAATTTCAAAGAAATTTACACAAAATTTAATATAAAAATTGAAATAAAAAAAATATTCAAAAGTAACAAAAAGCAAATATTAAAAAAAATACTGTCTATATTTGTCGTCATATTTGAATAATCTTGATGAAGTATGTCAAATGTACATACATATAGTAGATTTTTTATGACTACATATACATATATATATACAAAACCTTATAAAAGATACTATTATACACGCACATAACCAGTGAATTGTTATATTGAATACCAATAACCATTTTGTTCATGCGGAATCTCATTTTTGAACGTCGCGGAATTCATGTCGTGTCATTAAACAATGACCCCTATAAAAAATAATAGCTGGTTATTTGTATGTGCATCGGAGGCTCAAAAAGTCATCGACATTATTACGGCTTTTATAATCCACCACGTATATATATATATATATATATATAGTTTATAGTTGAGTTAATTTATACCCCATTTAACATCCGCGCGTGTACCTATTACATATTATAACGTTAAAATATTATATTCTTTACCTCAGCTGTGCTTAAAAAACACGTAATAACAAAGCGTGTCAAATGCATTAAAATGCATTTTCATCTTCTCTGTCATTTACTAGAAAAAAAATGTTTAAAAAAAAATTTTATATCCCACTAAATCAAGTGTATATTAAAAATATATACGAAATATGTACATATGTATAATTTAATTAAAATACCTTACCCTCACAACAAAAGGATATCCTGAGGATATCCTCAGGATATCCTAAACTAATGAAGGAAATCCTAAAATCGTCCATAGGATATCCTCAGAACATCCAAACCGCCGTTACGTAGGATATTTTTGGGATATCCTGAGGATATACTGAGGATATTCTGGGATATCCTGATGATATTCTAAACTAATGTAGGATATCCTAAAAACGTCCATAGGATATCCTCAGAACATCCAAACCGCCGTTACGTAGGATATTTTGGGATATCCTGAGGATATTCTGGGATATCCTGGGGATATTTTAGGGATATCCTGAGGATATTCTAGGGATATCCTAGTGATATCGTGGGGATATTCTTGGGATAAACTTGGTATATCGTTAAAATATTCTAGAAATATCGCTAAGATCTCCCTAGGATAACATTATGATTCAAATTAGGACGTTCTAAGGATATCCACAGGATATCCTAATAATATCCGGGGGAATGATTAGGATATCCCTAGGACGTCCTAGGGACATCCTTAGATATCCCTAGGATATCCTAACCGCCGCTACTTTGGATATCCTTTGTTACACGCACAAGCCAAAAGTTCGTTTGAAATGATGATTTGCTCTTAAGATTCACTTGCACGTGTAGGGAGGATATTTTTATATAAAGTTAATAAATGATAAGTCCACATGTTAGAATTCACAAAGTTTAATTTAAAAGAAATTTCTTCATAGTAATGTACAATTAAAATTCAAGTATATTAGAGATAAGTTGCTCGTGTCGATGCTAACGATATTCTGATATAAGATTACAAATTTTCGTATATTTTCGTTTTCGCTCGTTTGCTTTCGCTCACATTCGTCAAGTTTATAGAGAAATTAAATTAGATGGCATCACTTATCAGTCACACAAATAAAAATAGAATATCCCACCGAACATCCTCCCGGCCTTGATAGATCAATATTTTACAAATTACACTTCGATGGGAAGCGGCGCGATTCTTTTCACTCCTCGCTCAACAATTCCATTCGCTGTTTTTAATTTTACAACTCTCACAACTGAGTCATCGCCCGAAATCACCTCGATTATTCGGCCCATACACCAACGCATCGGGGGGAGATTATCATCTCTTATCGTTACCAAAGTTCCCACCTTTATATTATCTTGTCCCATGAACCATTTATTTTTTACATTTAATTCAGTCAAATATTCCTTAGACCAACGTTTCCACAGATCTCCTTTTATTTTTTGTATGTGTTGCCACACGCTTAATCGATTAACTGGAATCTGAGAAAGGTCCGTCGTTGGAATGGTTAACAGAGATTGACCAATAAGAAAATGTCCCGGTGTCAACACACTCAAATCGTTAGGGTCCGAGGACATTGGTGTTAATGGGCGTGAGTTCATTAACGCTTCAATCTCGACCATCAATGTATTCAATTGCTCATATGTAAGTAACGCATCGCCGACCACTCTTCGCAAATGATGCTTAAGAACCTTTACCGCTGCCTCCCATATTCCGCCAAAATGCGGAGTACGAGGGGGAATAAAATTCCACTCAATCAATTGATCAGATAATTCACGTTGAATTTTTTCGTTTACTTTTTCAGATTCTAAGAAGTTGTAAAGGTCCCTAAGCTCATTGTTCGCTCCGACGAAGTTGGTACCATTGTCAGAATACAAGGCTCTAGATTTTCCGCGTCGCGCAAAAAATCGCCGCAAACTTCCGATAAACGCTTCGGTGGTTAAATTTTCGACTAATTCGATATGGACCGCTTTGGTCGCCAAACAAACAAATACGGCCGCGTACACTTTCAATTTTGCTCGATTTCGATGACGTTTTTCCTTGACAAAAAAATACCCACAGTAATCTATGCCAACATTCTCGAAAGGTCTCGCCGCAGAGACTCGCACCTTAGGAAGATTTCCCATGACGTAAGCAATTTCTTTCGGTTTCACTTTACAACAAGTTACGCATGACGTCACCACCTTCCCTACCGCTGATCTACCATCTACTATCCAAAATTTTTGTCGAAGATTATATAAGGTTGCATTGACGCCTGCATGTTTCAAATTCCAATGAGCATTGCGAATCAATAAAGTGGTAACAGGATGTGATTTGGGAATGAGGATAGGATGAATCTGGTCATTTTCTAGTTCGGATTGTTGGATTCGACCTCCCACTCGTAAAATACCATCCTCCATCACTGGACTCAGTCGCGCGATCTTGGAACGCTGATGAATCACCTTTCCTCTTGAAAGATCTCGGATCTCGTTAGGAAATTCTTCTCGTTGAATCATGATGATCAATTTTATTTCTGCCGATTTGAGCTCATCCACCGACAGCGGACCCGTTGATCTTCTTCTCCTTTTTCCTTTTTCGCGTGCATTTCGGTAGAATCGAAGACAATAGGCAGTCACTCGAATGAGAATTCTCATGGAAGAATACTTGCTCAACAAACTCCATCGTTCGGTGACCTTGGCAGTCAAGACTTGAATCTTCTTCGATTCCTCCTGGCCTTCTTGTGTAGATTGAAATCTTGGTGGCCACGCCTCTTCATTTTCCCTCAACCAGGCTGGACCATGCTTCCAAAGTTGATTCGTCAGGAAATCCGATGGCAATTGGCCTCTAGACAGGACATCCGCAGGATTTTCCGTTGTCGAAACATGTCTCCAATCGCCTGCTCTTGTGACGCTTTGAATCTCGGTGATCCTATTAGCTTCAAATGTCTCAAGTTTGTAAGGTGGTTTGTTGATCCAATTCAGGACTATTGTTGAATCAGACCAAAAGGTAACTGTCTTGAATTCAATTTTGAGAGCTTTAATCACCGTCTTGAATAATTTAGTGAGCAAAACAGCAGCGCACAGTTCCAAGCGAGGAAGTGAGATGATCTGCACTGGAGCCACTCTTGATTTGGAACACATCAACATTGAATGATGCTTCCCGCCACTCGATGATCTCAAGTAAATACATGCTCCATAAGCACGTTGACTTGCATCAGCGAATCCGTGGAGTTGCAGTTCCTGTGCATTCGGAATTTTCGCTAATCTTGGTAATGTCCAAGTGTTGATCACCTTCAGTTGATCACGAAAAATTCGCCAGTTTTTATCCATTTCCTCAGGAACAGGATCGTCCCATCCGATTTTCAGTTTCCATAATTCTTGCATTTGAATTTTTGCGAGCACGATGACCGGAGCTATCCAGCCTTGAGGATCATAAAATTGAGCAGTCTCAGATAAAATTGATCTCTTGGTAATAATTTCAGATTCTTGTTTTAGCTCGACTTCGAATCCAAGTTCGTCGGTAGCCGCGTCCCAAACAATGCCTAGAGTTTTCGTGATGGTTTGATGATCATCTAATTTCTTGCGCATATTCAGAAGACTATCAGGCATGGATTCGGTCAGCCTTGAATCGTTCGAGACCCACTTGCACAGTCGAAGTCCCGCTTTGGATGTCACCTCGATCAGATCCTGGATAAGTCGCTCAGCTTTCTTATATGAATCTGCTCCCGTCATTGCATCATCAACATAAAAGTCGTTTCGCAGAACCGCAGCTGCTTCCGGAAATAATGATGATTCTTCTTCAGCTAACTGGGCCAAACATCTCGTTGCCAGGAATGGAGCCGCCGATGTCCCATACGTCACTGTCCGAAGTTGATAAATCTTGAGAGGTTGATTTGGATCGAATCTCCAAAATATTTTCTGATATTTCCTGTCCTCCGGATGTACTAGGAACTGACGGTACATTTTTTCTATGTCTGCTCCAATCGCGATCTCGAACAGTCTGAATCGAAGAATCAGCTCCAGCACTCCATCTTGGATCGTTGGTCCCACCATCAGCATCTCATTCAAGGATACACCAGAACTCGACTTGGCCGACGCGTTGAATACAGCCCTGAGTTTGGTGGTGAGACTATTTTCCTTGAGTATAGCGTGATGAGGAATAAAATACCCGTCTTTCTCGTTCGAGGATACTTCCTCCATGTGGTTTAGATCCAGGTATTCCCGCATGAATTGGTTGTATTTATCCCTGAGTGTTGCATTTTTTTCGAGTCTTCTCTCCAGTGCGAAGAATTGACGACGAGCCGTCTCGTGCGATGATCCCAGTTGATTGATTCCCTCCTTTGCAGGTAACCGGACCATGAATTGACCTGATGGAATGCGTTGATAATTGTCTCGAAAATGTTGTTCACACGCCTCTTCTTCCCTTGATAGAATTCGTTGATCAGACAGCTCCTCGATTTCCCAGAATCGCTCCATTTGTTTATGCAGTTGATCTCTAATCAAGTTACAAGAAACTTGATTTCTACGTGGAATGCAGTTGATTTTTCCGGTGACAATCCATCCGATCCTTGTATTCTGTAGATGAGTGCGTGGAAATGCCAAGGGAATCCTTTCGCTGCACAGCAAATCATAAAAAATCTTTGCACTGATCAATGCGTCGATTTCCGAGGGCCTGTCAAAACGAGAATCAGCAAGGGGAATATTTTTCGGAATATTCAGGATCTCTTTATTTACAGGACAATTAGGATGATCACTGGTGATACGAGGTAATACAAGGAAAGATAAGTTTGCAGAATAATTGTTATGTTTTGATTGGAATTTCGCGTAAACCCATTCTAAACTATTTATTTCTTGATTGTTAATAACTTCAATTGACGCGTTTGTTTTTCTTGTTTTAAGTTTTAATAATTTTGCAAATTTTACTGTCATAATGTTCGGTTGAGAACCGCTGTCGAGTAAAACCCTACATTCATGTTTTTTTCCTTCACTATCGTACATATCCACAATTGCAGTTGATAACATTACACTAGACGCGCTACTGATGTGATTTGATGATAATTTATTTCCCTGATCAACATACTCAACACTAGTGCTCGCTTGATTTTTATATTCCGAATTCGAATCTAAATTATCTTTGTGCAGCAATGTGTGGTGACGTTTGTGACACTTCATGCAATTTCCGGATTTACACTCGCTAATAAAATGATTTTTCCGTAAACAATTGTAACATAGTCCTTTTTTCTTAACAAATTCTTTTCTCTCATCTATTGATAATTTTAAAAATTCCGAGCAATTGTTAAGAACATGATTCTCTTTACAATTAAAACAAGAAAAGGTACTCTGTGAAGCAACAAATGATTTTCCTATAGATTTCTTTTCATTAATTGATTGTACTTTATTACTAGGCCTTGTATTCTGTTTCTTTTCACCACAACCAGCGTGTATTGCTTCTAATAATTGACACCGTTCGCGTAAAAAATCTAAAAATTTATCAAACTTTGGCATCTGAGTTCCATTTGCCGCTTTTTCCCATTCCCGACGAGACTCTTTATCTAATTTGGCTGTTAGTAAACAAATCATGGGTGTATCCCAGCTGCTCGTGGGCTCTTTCAAAACCTTCAGCGCGCGCATATGACGAAGCACACCATCGTGAAAGCTACGCAAACTACTCGCTGAATCTTCACTAGTATTTGGTAAATCGACAATTGCTTGCATGTGTTTTTGTATGATAATTCTCTCGTTATTAAATCTTTGGTTCAAGAGATCCCATGCCTCGTCATAATTGTCGCTGGAGGTTTCGAGATTTTCTATAACTTAAGCAGCTTCACCTGTCAAGTAAGATCGTAACAAACGCAACTTTGAAATTTTTGGATATGCATCGTCATTATGAACAATAGCAACAAATTGATCCCGAAATCCCAACCATTCGTTATAACCCCCTGAAAATGTGGGCAAATTTACTTTAGGTAAAAAAAGATGTTTTCGAATAATTGTGTCATCACTGGTTGTGGTGGGTCGTGATACCAAATTACGCAGATTTGATAGTTCATTCGTGCGTTGAGCATTAAGCTCCGCCTCTAATTGTGATATACGGGCGAGGTGATGGCTCGCATCCCCTCCTTGCGGTACCGATTCCGACCTCGCGAGCTGTCTTCGCTCATTAATTAATTTTAGTGCAATAGAAGTATAATTGAAATGCGTCTCTTCAAAAATATCCCGCTCAGCTTCGCGATTCGAACTCGGCGCCAATGTTTCGAGGCCCAATTGGGCTTTGTCGTAGTCTTTCCAATTTTCCTCTATTTTATTTAATCGAAATTGAATTTCTTCGACTGCCGTTCCTTCAACCAAACATTTATCAAGAAAAGTTTTAAATTTCGTTAACCTTGTTTTGCAATTTGTTCGGCTCTGTCGAAGAACTTCAATAGATTCAGACATGATTGTAAATAATAAATTTCACACAAAACCAACAGTCACAATGAGAAAGATTGGAAAGCTCGATAAATACAATTCGTTAATTAAAATTTGATAATCGCTTACTACTTCGATGCGAAAGTCACCTTGACAGAAGTTGATTGTATACCTCGTACCGACGCTCGCTTTTTCCCGCCTGATGCTTCCCTCCAAAATTCAGAACTCTAGCCGTTGATTGATGAATTTCGTTCCTTGATCTCGGATGCACTTCCGATGCACCGCGCCTTGATGCAATTCCAGAGTTCCAAAGAATGGCCTATGATGATTCTTTCATTTGCCCCAGTGCAAATGACCCAATAGTTTTCAGCTTCCAGGACCAGCGTCAGCACACTTTGTTTATGATAAGTGCGACTTCACTTTATCCTCTTGAATTATGTTCAAACCAATGTATATTTCACCAAGTTCACAAGTTTCGTTAGTGAATCTATCCGTTTCGAAGGACCATGTTACACGCACAAGCCAAAAGTTCGTTTGAAATGATGATTTGCTCTTAAGATTCACTTGCACGTGTAGGGAGGATATTTTTATATAAAGTTAATAAATGATAAGTCCACATGTTAGAATTCACAAAGTTTAATTTAAAAGAAATTTCTTCATAGTAATGTACAATTAAAATTCAAGTATATTAGAGATAAGTTGCTCGTGTCGATGCTAACGATATTCTGATATAAGATTACAAATTTTCGTATATTTTCGTTTTCGCTCGTTTGCTTTCGCTCACATTCGTCAAGTTTATAGAGAAATTAAATTAGATGGCATCACTTATCAGTCACACAAATAAAAATAGAATATCCCACCGAACATCCTTAAAGTATCCTTAGGATATCCAAGGGATGTTTTTGGAATATCCTAGATTATCTGGTGCTGTGAGGGTAGAGTCAATATTTTAATGCACAAATATTTTTCACTAAAATATTATTTCAATTATTATTATTTTATTATTACTATAAAAAACTTCAATAAATTTTAATTTCTCTAGCATTTTAGATTCTGATTTACTTTTTTGTATGGTTGGAACTTCTTATTTTGATTCGATGTTTAGTTTTTAAAAAAAATTTTAAGGTAAACTGTTATTTATAATAATTAAATCATAAATAGCTCCTTTTGAAGGACAACCTGTTTTACTGGAACTCCACAAGTATTGCCCATTGTTAGGAGCAATTAAATAGAACCTTATAATACATTTCATTTAGTTTAGTAACTACATAAAATAAACATTTTAAATATTATTAATTTTATTATTAATATTATTATTATTTTCGTATTTTTTAAAATTTAAATAATTTTAAGTCTTCTGTTATGGTCAACAAATTTTTTTTTTAATTCATATACTTTTTTATTTATTTTCTATATAGAAAAAATAAGACTATATAATTACATCCATTATATTTATTAAAAATTCATCTACAGAAATAATTGTTATTTTTAAAAAGACAAATTCGACTATAACTGGACATAAACTAAAATTTTTTTCGAGATCATTAAATATATTTTTTTTAAACAAAAGAATTTTCGTTGTAAAAGAAATATTACGTTGGTTATGTATTTTACTTCTCTATAATAAAGTATTTTTTATTTAATTTTTTACTATTTTTATATGTTTTATTTTATATTGTAATTGATTTGATTATTATATTTTTTGTTTCACCTCTATTTATTTTACTTTACATCCTTATACAGATTTATAATGTTTTTTTTTGCTTCAGTAATTTCAGAATTTAAGATTTTGAAAAAAACGAAATTTTGTTAATTTGCTTTAATCTAATAATTATATATATGACGAAATTTTAATATTTTTAATTTTGTATTTACTTTTTTACTATTCTTAACATAATTCAAAAGTAATTAATAATGATGATCATAATGATAATTATAATCATAATGATAATTACTATTTACAGACCAAGCATTTTATTATTATATAATTTTAGAAAGAATGTTCTCCTGGAAAATGAAAAAAACCCTTCCAAAGTCAAATAAAATTAATCAGCATGTCTCTATTATTTTTTAACCTTAAAACAACACGTATTACCTTCAAAAAGAACCTACCAATTCAACCTAAATTGCAATAAACTAAGAATAATCAATTTTATTCCATTTTTATGAATAGAATGTTTTACTGGAAAATAAAAAAAAATCCTTACTACTTCAAATAAAATTAATCAGCATGTCTCTATTATTTTTTAACCTTTAAACAACACGTATTACCTTCAAAAAAACCTACCAATTGACCCTAAATTGCAATCAACTAAGAATAATCAATTTTATTCCATTTTTATGAATAGAATGTTTTCCTGGAAAATGAAAAAAATCCTTACTACTTCCAATAAAATTAATCAGCAGGTCTCTATTATTTTTTTACTTTAAAACAACACGTATTACCTTCAAAAAAAACCTACCGATTGAACCTAAATTGCAATAAACTAAGAACAATCAATTTTATTCCATTTTTATGAATAGAATGTTTTCATGGAAAATGAAAAAAATCCTTACTACTTCAAATAAAATTAATCAGCATGTCTCTATTATTTTTTAACCTTTAAACAACACGTATTACCCTCAAAAAAACCTACCAATTGACCCTAAATTGCAATCAACTAAGAATAATCAATTTTATTCCATTTTTATGAATAGAATGTTTTCCTGGAAAATGAAAAAAATCCTTACTACTTCAAATAAAATTAATCAGCAGGTCTCTATTATTTTTTTACTTTAAAACAACACGTATTACCTTCAAAAAAAACCTACCAATTCAACCTAAATTGCAATAAACTAAGAATAATCAATTTTATTCCATTTTTATGAATAGAATGTTTTCCTAAAAAAAGAAAAAATTCCTTACTACTTCAAATAAAATTAAACAGCATGTCTCTATTATTTTTTTACCTTAAAACAACACGTAATACCTTCAAAAAAACCTACCAATTAAACCTAAATTGCAGTAGACTAAGAATAATCAATTTTATTCCATTTTTTTGAATAGAATGTTTTCCTGGAAAATGAAAAAATTCCTTACAAATTCAAATAAAATTAATCAGCATGTCTCTATTATTTTTTAACCTTAAAACAACACTTATTACCTTCCTAAAAACCTACCAATTGAACCTAAATTGCAAAAAAATAAGAACAATAAATTTTATTCCATTTTTTTGGATAGAATGTTATCCTGGAAAATGAAAAAAATCCTTACTACTTCAAATAAAATTAATCAGCATGTCTCTATTATTTTTTTACCTTAAAACAACACGTAATACCTTCAAAAAAACCTACCAATTAAACCTAAATTGCAGTAGACTAAGAATAATCAATTTTATTCCATTTTTTTGAATAGAATGTTTTCCTGGAAAATGAAAAAATTCCTTACACATTCAAATAAAGTTAATCAGCATGTCTCTATTATTTTTTTACCTTAACACAACACTTTAAAACCTTCAAAAAAACCTACCAATTGAACCTAAATTGCAGTAGACTAAGAATAATCAATTTTATTCCATTTTTTTGAATAGAATGTTTTCCTGGAAAATGAAAAAAATATTTACAAAATCAAATAAAATTAATCAGCATGTCTCTATTATTTTTTTACCTTAAAACAACACCTTAACACCTTTAAAAAAACCTACCAATTGAACCTAAATTGCAAAAAAATAAGAACAATAAATTTTATTCCATTTTTTTGGATAGAATGTTTTCCTGGAAAATGAAAAAAATCCTTACACATTCAAATAAAGTTAATCAGCATGTCTCTATTATTTTTTTACCTTAACACAACACTTTAAAACCTTCAAAAAAACCTACCAATTGAACCTAAATTGCAGTAGACTAAGAATAATCAATTTTATTCCATTTTTTTGAATAGAATGTTTTCCTGGAAAATGAAAAAAATATTTACAAAATCAAATAAAATTAATCAGCATGTCTCTATTATTTTTTTACCTTAAAACAACACCTTAACACCTTTAAAAAAACCTACCAATTGAACCTAAATTGCAAAAAAATAAGAACAATAAATTTTATTCCATTTTTTTGGATAGAATGTTTTCCTGGAAAATGAAAAAAATCCTTACTACTTCCAATAAAATTAATCAGCAGGTCTCTATTATTTTTTTACTTTAAAACAACACGTATTACCTTCAAAAAAAAACCTACCAATTCAACCTAAATTGCAATAAACTAAGAATAATCAATTTTATTCCATTTTTATGAATAGAATGTTTTCCTAAAAAAAGAAAAAATTCCTTACTACTTCAAATAAAATTAAACAGCATGTCTCTATTATTTTTTAACCTTAAAACAACACGTATTACCTTCAAAAAAAACCTACCAATTGAACCTAAATTGCAATAAACTAAGAATAATCAATTTTATTCCATTTTTATGAATAGAATGTTTTCCTGGAAAATGAAAAAAATCCTTACTACTTCCAATAAAATTAATCAGCAGGTCTCTATTATTTTTTTACTTTAAAACAACACGTATTACCTTCAAAAAAAACCTACCGATTGAACCTAAATTGCAATAAACTAAGAACAATCAATTTTATTCCATTTTTTTGAATAGAATGTTTTCCTGGAAAATGAAAAAAATATTTACAAAATCAAATAAAATTAATCAGCATGTCTCTATTATTTTTTTACCTTAAAACAACACCTTAACACCTTTAAAAAAACCTACCAATTGAACCTAAATTGCAAAAAAATAAGAACAATAAATTTTATTCCATTTTTTTGGATAGAATGTTTTCCTGGAAAATGAAAAAAATCCTTACTACTTCCAATAAAATTAATCAGCAGGTCTCTATTATTTTTTTACTTTAAAACAACACGTATTACCTTCAAAAAAAAACCTACCAATTCAACCTAAATTGCAATAAACTAAGAATAATCAATTTTATTCCATTTTTATGAATAGAATGTTTTCCTAAAAAAAGAAAAAATTCCTTACTACTTCAAATAAAATTAAACAGCATGTCTCTATTATTTTTTAACCTTAAAACAACACGTATTACCTTCAAAAAAACCTACCAATTGAACCTAAATTGCAATAAACTAAGAATAATCAATTTTATTCCATTTTTATGAATAGAATGTTTTCCTGGAAAATGAAAAAAATCCTTACTACTTCAAATAAAATTAATCAGCATGTCTCTATTATTTTTTTACTTTAAAACAACACTTATTACCTTCCTAAAAACCTACCAATTGAACCTAAATTGCAATAAACTAAGAACAATCAATTTTATTCCATTTTTATGAATAGAATGTTTTCCTGGAAAATGAAAAAATTCCTTACAAATTCAAATATAATTTAACAGTATGTCATATTTATTTTATTTTTTGTAAAACAATGTATATTACCTTAAAAAAATTTAAACGCTTGTACTGTATTTAAAAAAGTATAAAAATATCCAATTTTATTCTATTACCAATAAAATTAAACGCGCTAGCGCTCAAAATCGGTTATTTAATTGTTTATTATAAAGAAATTTTAAAGAAATCAAATCCGAAATTTGAAAACACAATTATACAACTTTGGCAAAAATGAGAAAAAGAATTTTCAAAATGTGACACAAATTTGACACGTCATAACATTACAATTCAAAAAACACGTGAAATCAGTAAAGACCAACTTCAATTTAGGATAGAAGGGCAGACCAAGAATTTTATTATTATATATCCTATAAATATAAATAATTTTTTTATTTCACCCCTTTTTATTTTACATTACATCCTTATATAATATACTATTTTTCAAATTTTGTGATGTAAAATATTTAATTTTATATTTTTATACATTTCACAACGTTTATTCGATTATTTATCGATTTATATTCTCATGAAAACTAGGTGTTCATTTCTTAACCATTTAACTTCCTCATCATGATACACTTATACATATTCAAGATTAAAAAAAGGATTACAACTAAAATAGGGATCAATTTTATAATTATTCTTCTTCTTTATAAGAAAAAGTAATTTCAAAAAATACAAAAAACAATTTTTTTCAAAAATTCAAAAAAACTATTTAATGATATAGATTTCATTAAAATATGAACTTTATATAGGTTAATTGATTCGTTTTAATGCAAGAAATAAGTTTTTTTACCAAACAAAATTAAATTTACACAGAAAAAAATATTCTGACAAAATTTTTTTTTGATTGATTCTAATGTTATTTTTTTTTTTGCTTCAATGATTTCACAATTTAAGGTTTTGGAAAAAAATAATTTTAATTATTTGATTTATTTATTATTTATTTATTATAATAATGTAACATAGATTTATATTATCTTTTTACATGAGGTTATATGTATCTATTCACTTAAACAGAAATCTCTTAATTTTACTAAACCTTTCACAAAATAAAAGAATTTCTTTACATCCTGAATATTTTCGATCTTAAGAATTTCTGGGAGTGTTTTGTTTCTTATTTCGTATGCAATTTTTATATTTATTATACACAGGATAATCCAATAGTACATGCTTTAAATTTTCAGTCCTATCTTTATTGCACAATAAACACTTATAATTTAATTTAATTTAATATAATATGAAAATTTTAATATTATAATTTTGTATTTACTTTTTTACTATTCTGAACATAATATAAATTTAATTAATAATGATGATCATGATGATTATTATAACCATGATGATAATTATTATCATAATGATGATTATTACCATGATGATAATTATTATCATGATGGTAATTATTACCATAAGGATAATTATTATCATAATAATAATTATTACCATACGGATAATTATTACCATGATAATAATTATTACCATAAGGATAATTATTACCATGATGATAATTATTTCCATAAGGATAATTATTACCATGATGATAATTATTACCATAAGGATAATTATTACCATGATGATAATTATTACCATAAGGATAATTATTATCATAATGATAATCATGATGATGATGACGACGTTGACGATGATTATAATGTCGTTTAAATTTACCAGGATGTTCACATTTAGTGCCAGCAATTAATTTCCTCACAGATTGTTTTAAAATTCGATAATTAATTTCATTGAAATTCATAGTTCCAAGTGCAATTTTTTGATAACGATTCGTTACCACCCAAAGTTCTTCCTCCATTTGTCTCACTGACGGTGGAATTACTTTAACCCCACTTGCAAACTGTAGGGTTTCATCATCTTGAGCGATTATTTCCTAAAACAATTATTTATATATAAATTTTGTTTCATTAATCATATTTGGAAGTGCACTTATAATTTCGCAATCAGTACGAAAAACATTTTTTTTTTAACCAAATAAAAATTAAAAGATTTCAATCGAAAATCTCTATTTATAAATAAGAATTTAATTAAATTATTAAAATTAATCAAAGTTTACTTAAATTAATTTAATTTAAATAGTTAAAACTAAATTATGAGTTTAATAATTATTAAATAAAATAATAAAATAACAAATAATGAACAAACAAAATAATATAAAAAGAATAATAAATGAAAACAATAATAATTAAAAAACCAAAAATTTAATTAATATAATTACGAATTTAATTAATTAATATTAATATGATAATTAATTAGATTAATTTATGATAATTCTTACAATATTTTGAGGTGTCATTTCCGTAAACTGATTCCAACATCCAATGGCAACTTCACTAGTGAGACCAAAAAATAGAGTGCCTTTTGAACTAAATGCTTGAGCTGTCGATTGACTGGGAAGTACATTTGAAAAATTAGAATAAACTAATGGCTTATTATATTTTGTTTGCATAATATCATCAACTTTGGCCGTATAAATTGAACGTGAAGAGAATGGTCGAAAAACAAGATATTGTGGATTGTTGTCAATTTTTGGTGATAATGCCATGCCAAAAAGACCATCAGACAATGTAAAAGTTTCATTGACAATTGTCACCTTTAACAACTCTGGAGATGGCTCCGGTTTAAAATATGGTCCATTCAAACGCCACATATCAGGAAAATCAAAAACTACCATTCCAAAACCATTTACATCGGCTAGAAATACCTGTGTATATAAATTTTTATTTATTATTATTAACATGACTAATAATTAATTATATGCTTCATTTAGTTGATAACTAATTATTTAATTAATAGTTAAATAGGTACTTATTTTAATAAATAAATAAATTATTATTTATTTATATAATAAGTTGGAAATGATCACTGATAAAAGTCTTTATCCAGAAAAAATGTCACAACACCAATTTAATTAATTAATTTAACAATTAATTAATTAAGTAAATTAATTATTTCATTAAGTATAAAAATTAAATTAAAAAAAAATACTTGCTTTTGATTTTTTGCAATGTTCTCCATCAGTTTGAACAATTGGCGTTATTAAAAGACCATGATGAGTTTGAGAATTTTGAGAAATTCTATCTTCAATTTTTACTCGTTTAATTAAATTATTTGTGGTCAAATGAAAAGTTAATAATTGTGCCGGACACACTTGTTTACCGTCGATCCCTCCATTATCTAAAACCCACAATCTATTACACCTATCAATCTATAAAAAAAATATATATATATTAATATAAATAAATATTAAATAAATATACTTATATTTATTTATTTACTTGTTGATTTTTAAGAGTAGAAAAATTTAACTGTAAAAAAAATATTAATAATAACAATTATTATTATTACTATTATTATAAAAATAATTATTATTATATTAATATTTATATAATGACAATTAATAAAAACAAAAATTTTGAATGAAAATTTTTTTTATTAAAAAATTTTTTTGTATCTATTCTTATTTATTGAAAATACTTACTGTAATTCTGTAAACGTTTGTGATACCATTACAATCACCTGGTTTATACCAGGACCAATTAGGATATGGTATCAATAAATGACCACCAGGTCCTTTTTGTTTAGAAACAACTCCTAAACTCGCTGGAACTCCTTTGGTTCTAATTACAGTAACAAATGTTCTTCCATCTAAAATAAATAAATTAATTTGTGAACAATATAAAAAATAATAATTTCTCAAATTGTATTTTTCTTTAAGGCCAGGTCCAAGTGAGGCAGCGCCATCTACATCGAAACTAAAATTTTTGAAAATTTCCAACAGTCTTTTCTTGAAAACAAGAAGATAAAATGCTTTTTCCTTTATGAATAATTGATTATTGGCAAGAAATACAATAGCTAAAACTTTTTTTGAGTTAAAATAATGAAAAAAATTTCATGTCAATAAATGCACTTTTTTCACAAAAACTGTTACAGTACTTTCTCAGAAATTACAATCAAAAATGCAATTTCCATTTGGAAAATTAATAAACACTAAAAAATACACCAGCTAAGATTTACCAATCACGAAAATAACAAAAAAAAAAAGTTTTTTAACGCATAATATATTTTACTAATTATGACAGCCGTTTGGCAGGTTATATATGACGTTTCGCGATTTTGCCGAAAGGAGGATATTGGCGCTGTTGCTAACCACCTGAAATACATAATCTACCAAAGGGCTGTCACAATCAGTAAAACTGTGTCCATATGTGAAATATGTAATAAAATTTTTTGTTGCTATTTTCGTGTTTGGTGAATCTTAGCTGGTGTATTGTTCAACGTTTATTAATTTTCCAAATGGAAATTTTATTCTTGATTGTTAATTCCGAGAAAGTACTGTTACAGTTTTTGTGAAAAAACTGCTCATATTTAATTTATCGACATGAAATTTTTTTCATCATTTTAACCCAAAAAAAGTTTTAGCTGGTGTATTTCTTTCTAATAATCAATTATCCATAAAGAAAAACGCATTTTACCTTCTTGTTTTCGAGAAAAGGCTGTTGAAAATTTTCCAAAATTATAGTTTTAATGTAGATGGCGCTGCCTCACTCGGACCTGGCCTTAATCCATATTTATATATCATTACTATATTATAAAAACATATCGCCGCCGCCGCCGGTGATTCAAGAATGAACGCTAGGCGAGAACTTCGACGCTACGTGGGAGCTCACAGTACTCGCCTACTGTTCAACTCGCGAAGCATTAAAACTCCCGTACCGTTTAGAATTTGTTTCGAAAATTTCAGATATTGTACTATCTATATCAAAAACATAAGTTAAAAATTAACATAACATCAATACTCAAGGTCAAACGACAGAATCATAGATTAAAACAAACCAAAAATCAAGGACATATGTCAAAAACCAAAGTTTTTGATGGTGTAGAGACGGATATAACCTCAAAATTATTATCAGCGGTCAAGATATGACCATCCCTTTAAACTTTTAAAGGTCATAGGTCAAAGGAGAACATAACCTTAAATTTACGTTGAAGGTCATAGGAGTGTAGGCGAACATAACCTCAAAATTTGGTCAAAGTTATAGAAAAAATTGGACATTACCCCAAAATTAGGGTCATATAGGTTAGAAGGACGTCATCCGTGGTGCATCTTAGAAACAAATTCTTTAAAATGAAATAATAAATTTTATTTAAAGAAATTGGGTAAAATAATCTTTAAAAACATATAAAAACTTATTCGGTCCCTAATTAATTTTTCAATTGCAGAATAGTTGAAAATTTAGTTTACGAATGCAAGTTAAAATATAGTTTATGTTCATATTAAAATATAAATTTCTGCTGTTCAAATTTAAAAATTTTTGATTAAATACAAATTTAATCAAAATAATATTTAATATTTTTAGTAAATTTAAATAGGGGGTTGGCGCGCGAAGCCCCCCTAGTATATATATATAATATTTATTTTAGCCTAAAATTCTTGTTAATTTAAAAAATCGATTAAATAATTTTTAAATTTTTAAAAAATTTAAAAATTGGTAATAATTAAAAAATTACTAATGATAAATTGAAAAAATGACTAATAATTAAAAAAATTAATAATAGTTGAAAAGAATTTTTTTTTAAATTTTATATTACCTTTTGATCGATCAATATCAAGAAGAATTGCCTTCGTAAAATTATAATTTCCAGATTTGATAGCTTCATCTTTAGCTTCTGGTGATTTCCACACGTAGTCAATATATTTCCACTCAAACATGGACTTCATTTTTTCGGCATGTCCCATTATTTTAATTATGAGACAAAATAGGATGATAAATTTCAAATAAAAAGCCATATTTTATACTTTTTTTTTTGAAGAGAGAATACTATGAGAAATAAAGTAAATTCATTATTTATGAAGAATTTAATACAGAAATCAATATAAAATAAAAAAAATTTCTTATTCTAACCCTTAAAGGAATCCAAATTATCAATTTCATAAAAATTTACCAAAATATGATACTATTATCAAATAAATAATTTTACTTGAACTAAATATAATTTTAATTTGAACCAATAATTTCTGTATTTAAAACAAACACCATTTAATTGACTCAATTTTTTTTTTTCAGTGTACATAAAAATATATATATTTATATAAATATTTTATAAATAAGGTAAAAATATATAAAGAAAATAAAAAAATATATATTATATTTTATAAATTATATAAATTATAATATTTATAAAAATATATTTATTTTACAAAGTTTGAAAAACTGACTACTTACAAATTAATTTTCTATGTAAATAGATTGAGTAATTAATTATAATATTAATTAAATTGTTTCTTATAAATTTTGAGACGATTGTTATTCTGTTCCTTTTTTTAACAACAAACTTCCAAGTGAAAATATCGATTTAAAGTTATGGCACAACATAAATGAATTGATAGAAATATAAATTCATATACGGTGGAAAAATATTTTAAGAGTAAATATTGAATCATATTATTATACATACGTACTTAGAGACTTTTATTTAGTGTGACATAGTGAACATTTTTTTTACGAACAATAAAAAATTAAAAAACTGATAAAATGAATCAATAAAATAAGCATAAAAAATGATGAAATTAGTAATAAAATTAAAATTCTTAAATATATTCCCCTGAAAAAATTTTCCTTGGCATTTTCTAATTTTTCAGACCTTCTAAATTTTTTCCCAAGTTTTAAAAAAAAATATAATAATTTACAAAAAATGTACTGTTTAATTTTAATTTTTTATTTAAAGATAGAATTAATTTTTATTTGTTAACATTTCTAAATAAGAATTCTTTGTATTACTTAAAATTAATTATTTATTAACTAATTATTAATCCTTGGATTAAAATTGTAATATTCATTTTACATGGGCTTTATGATCCAAAGAATAAATTAATTTATAATTAATAATATTTCCGGACCATAATGAGAGTAAACAAATGAAATAATTTATATTATCAGTTAACTTTTTTTTGAAATAAATTTACATATCTTGACAAATACAACTATTTACTATTAAATGTGTAAACTTTAGAAATCTAAAATCCACGCCATCTATGCAAATTGGGAACGGTTGTCATGACGTCAGTAGATATAGATAAAGTAAACATTTATTAATTCAATTATTTTAAAAAATTTCAATATTTAAAATCGTTTAAAATTTAATTTATTTCTAAAATATATCATTTAAAACTTTTTGAAATTTAATAATTTTAACTATAACTATTTCAAAATTCAATTATTTTTAATAATTTTTATAATATTCTTTGACAAATCCAATTACTTAAGACCTTTTTCAATTAAAAACGTTTAAAATTCAATTTTTGTCTCTATTTTTTAATAAATTCTTCAATTTTTTTACAATTAAAACTAAAAACTATGTAAAAATTTTAAATTCGAATTATTTGCTTAATAAATATTACATTTGTTATTTATTTTTCTTCTCTATAATCAAGTTTTTTTTCTACTATTTATATTGTTATTGACTCAAATAAAAATGATATAGATAAAAATTATTTAGTTTAAGAAAATATTTAAGGCATTCTTCGTCAACGGGACCCCCCTGCTCTCCAAAAATGGTTTATGTTTAAATTATCGGGCATAGGCTTAAAATTTAGCTAAAAAGGAATACTTTTAAATGCCGAATGGCACTTTTTGAAATTTCAAAATGGCGGCTGAAATATGGCGGGCGAATTTTCAAAAATTAATTTAATTCGCTTGAAACTTGTTACTCGGGGGTTTTTGGGGTCGCTGATTACGAATCTGAAGTCAGAATTTCAAAATTCAATATGGCGTATCGAATATGGCTGACAATTTTTTAAAAAGTGCCTGGAGATGCTTGAAACTTGTTACTCGGGGGTTTTTGGGGTCGCTGATTACAAATCTGAAGTAAATGAATGCAAAAGGATTTTAGCAAAAATAATACTAAGATACGCCAATAATCAACGAATGCAACAGTATGAAATTGTATTGAATTTTATGAAAGCGACATTAATAGCAGAATAATGTCTTGTGTAAATACCAGTTAAAGTTGATGCAAATTGATTATAATACTCAATTTCTTCTAAAGATTTTGTTGAAGAATTATGTCGTAAGCTTGCGAAATTAAAAACATATTTATTGTTACAAAGCAGCAAATTTAGTATATGAAAAATCTGAAAAGTAATATTTGTGACATTCAATTCTATATAAAAATATTCGCAGGAAACTTTACGAAAATTACAGAAAATTTCTCGGGAATCCATTTTTCCTATACTAATCCGAGATTTTCTAGGGAATTTTCCGAGAATCAATACCTTGAGAATATTCAGGTATATTATTAAGTAGGAAAAATCAGTACATTTTTTTTCTAGAAAATTATAATTTAGGACAAGTTGCTGATCAAATACTCATAGTACTAAGCTTTCTCATTAAAAAGATATGACAGTGACAGACCTGTATAACACAGAAACCTTTTTTTAAAACTTTTCAAGTTTACGAAAATCTCATAAAATTTAAAAATATCGTCCGATATATTTTACACAGTTAGAATTATTGAAAATTGACCTTATATTTATGTAATCAGCTAACCTAAAAACCAGTAATTAACATTTATCATGTAAATCAACTACTCTAAAACATTCTTAGTAACAATTTTCATTAAAAAAATTACATTTAAATAAAATGGTCCGCCATACTGGATCCATAATATTGAATTTTTAAATTCTGACTTCAGATTCGTATTTAGCGACCCCAAAAACCTACGAGTAACATGTTTCAAGCAAATCCAATCACTTTTTAAAAAATTTGTTAGCCATATTGGATACGCCATAGTGAATTTTGAAATTCTGACTTCAGATTCGTAATCAGCGACTCTAAAAACCCCCGAGTAACAAGTTTCAAGCATCTCCAGGCACTTTTTAAAAAATTGTCAGCCATATTGGATACGCCATATTGAATTTTGAAATTCTGACTTCAGATTCGTAATCAGCGACCCCAAAAACCCCCGAGTAACAAGTTTCAAGCATCTCCAGGCACTGTTTAAAAAATTGTCAGCCATATTGGATTCGCCATATTGAATTTTGAAATTCTGACATCAGATTCGTAATCAGCGACCCCAAAAACCCCCGAGTAACAAGTTTCAAGCATCTCCAGGCACTGTTTAAAAAATTGTCAGCCATATTGGATTCGCCATATTGAATTTTGAAATTCTGACATCAGATTCGTAATCAGCGACCCCAAAAACCCCCGAGTAACAAGTTTCAAGCGAATTAAATTAATTTTTAAAAATTCGCCCGCCATATTTCAGCCGCCATGTTGAAATTTCAAAAAGTGCCATTCGGCATTTAAAAGTATTCCTTTTTAGCTAAATTTTAAGCCTATGCCCGATAATTTAAACATAAACTATTTTTGGAGAGCAGGGGGGTCCCGTTGACGAAGAATGCCTCATTTATTTGATATAAGTAATCGTTTATTTGAATCAAATAAATTTTTTTTTCAGTGTATTTTCAGGATCTATAAATACAATTTCTACACGGATTATTAGGGAGTTCACATTTAGTGCCAGCAATTAATTTCCTCACAGATTGTTTTAAAATTCGATAATTAATTTCATTGAAATTCATAGTTCCAAGTGCAATTTTTTGATAACGATTCGTTGCCACCCAAAGTTCTTCCTCCATTTGTCTCACTGACGGTGGAATTACTTTAACCCCACTTGCAAACTGTAGGGTTTCGTCATCTTGAGCGATTATTTCCTAAAAAAAAATTAATATCTCCTTTGCATTTAATTTCCTTCTATTTACTTTACCATCCATCCCTTATCATAACCTCAATTAAATTATCATACCACACACCATGAAACCTCCATCATTTACCATGTGTTTCACATACTATTTTTGAGATTCGAATTTTAATTTTTTTTAAAGTCGTAAAATGAAAAATCTTGTAAAAAATGAATTTTACATGTGATCCAACACGCAGTGAGACTTTATATTTTTAACTTTAATTTATATCTTAATTTCCAATAAATAACAATCGAAACCTTTATTCTTTACAGATCTTATGTGTTTGTTATTTTATTTTATTCACGTGTGTTTCGTGTATCGAAATTTTATCTTGTGATCATTGTATTAACCTGATGAGGGCTAAATAGCCGAAACATGTAGTAAATTTTAAACTATAAACTGTTATGTATCAATAAACAAACATCATAACACAGAAAAAAAGTGGGTAAAAAGTTGTAAAGATAGAGGATAAAAGTCGTTAGGATACAGGGTAAAGGATAAATTTGTGATGGATAAAAATGTTACTAAAATATTACTAGAAAAATGGATGTCATATTTGAGTAAACTGTCTAATTTTAATAAAAATATTAATAATTTTACACTTAACTTATTAAATCCACAAATTTTTTATAAATAAGTAATTGCATGTGTTTAAAAAGTATGAATAAAATTGATGAAAGTGGAAACAAATTTTCTTCACCCTAAGAATAACATTGTGTCGTCTGTTTGTTGTCCCTCCAGGCCTCTGACGTCATATCTTGAACTCGAAATATCTCGATGAACTGATACAGCCTAATATGCACAAAAAATTCAGTTACTACCCAACTCTGCTTTCGTGCAACAATACAGACGTTGAGTTGTAATTTCCCAGTTCTGATTATTTACGCACTGTCGTCAGCTGTCAGTTGTATTAGTCAAAGATATTTTTATTAATAGACAATAATTATAGGCAAAATATTTCCACATGCAATTACTTATTTATAAAAAATTTGTGGATTTAATAAGTTAAGTGTAAAATTATTAATATTTTTATTAAAATTAGACAGTTTACTCAAATATGACATCCATTTTTCTAGTAATATTTTAGTAACATTTTTATCCATCACAAATTTATCCTTTACCCTGTATCCTAACGACTTTTATCCTCTATCTTTACAACTTTTTACCCACCTTTTTGGTTAGACCAAAAACTGAGATAGCACGTTATTCACCTTTACTGTGAGATAGAACAGTTTCATACTCAGGTATCGATTTGGAAGTGTACTTATAATTTCGCAATTAATACGAAAAACATTATTTTTTTAAACCAAATAAAAATTAATAGATCTCAATCGAAAATCTCTCTATTTATAAATAAGAATTTAATTAATTTGAAATTAATGAAAGTATAGTTAAATTAATTTAATTTAAATAGTTAAAACTAAATTATGAGTTTAATCCCAAGAAGCACGTAATATATCCTCAATATCAAGGTAATATTACACGTGAGATTCGTAATATAACGCTGTAATATTACAGTAATCTTACAATGATCTTAAAATGTCCGCCTCAAGGTAATATTAACGATAATATTACAGTAATATTAACGGTAATATTACAGTAATATTACAGACTGATTTGAGTTATTCATAAAGCATAAAAAACGTAAATATATTATAAGTCAATTTGGCTTGTTGGTAAAACTGTGGACTCGTGTGCTTTGAGTTCGGGGTTCGATTCCCTGGATGGGTAGATTTTTTTCGTAAAGAAATGTTCCCATAATATTACTGTAATATTCTCTTGTAATATTACCTTAATATTACTGCAATATTACTGTAATATTACCTTAATATTAGCGCGTAATATTACTGTAATATTACCTTAATATTAGCGCGTAATATTACAGTAACATTACCGGTAATATTACCTTGAGGCGAACATTTTAAGATCACTGTAAGATTACTGTAATATTACAACGTTATATTACGAATCTTACATGTAATATTACCTTGATATTGAGGTTATATTACGTGCTTCTTGGGATGATTATTAAAGAAAATAATAAACAAAAAAAAACTAATAAATGAAAAATATTTTAAAAAATAAATTTACTATAATTAATTTAACAACTTATTTAATTAATTAATATTAATATGATAATTAATTAGATTAATATGATAATTCTTACGATATTTTGTGGTGTCATGTCCCTAAATTGATTCCAGCATGCAATGGCAATTTGACTGGTGAGACCAAAAAATAAAGTGCCTTCTGAGCTAAATGCTTGAGCTGTTGATTGACTGGGAATTACATTTGTAAAATTATAATAAACTAATGGCTGATCTACTTTTGTTTGCATAATGTCATTCACTTTGGCAGCATAAAATGAACGTGAGGCAAATGGTCGAAAAATAAGAAATTGTGGATTATTGCCAATATCTGGTGATAATGCCATGCCAAAGAGACCATCAGATAATGTAAAAGTTTCACCGGCAATTGTTGAAACTGATAAATGTGGAAATGGTTCAGGTGCAAAATATGGTCCATCCAAACGCCACATATAAGGCAAATTCACAATTATCATTCCATATCCAGTTACGTCGGCTATAAAAACCTGCGCAAATATACATTTTTCATATTTGTTTTATTATTCTTAATTTAATTAATAATTATTATAAATTTAGTTAACAATTAATTACTTATATTTAATTAGTAATTAACTAAAAATGTAATTAATAATTATTAATTATTTATTTATGTAATTGATAATTAATTACTTATTTAATTAATAATTAATTATTATTTATTTATGTAATTGATAATTTATTACTTATTTAATTAATGATTAATTACTCATTTAATTATTAGTTAATTATTATTTATGTAATTAATTATTATTTATGTAATTGATGATTAATTATTTATTTAATTAATAATTAATTACTCTTTATTTATGTAATTAATTATGATTTATGTAATTGATAATTAATTACTTATTTAATTAATGATTAATTATTCATTTAATTATTAATTAATTATTATTTATGTAATTGATGATTAATTATTTATTTAATTAATAATTAATTATTATTTATTTATATATATAATAAAAAGCACAATAAAAATTTAATTAATTTATGCAAGAAATAATTAATTAAGTAAATTAATTATTTCAATAAGTATAAAAATTAAATGTTAAAGAAATACTTGCTTTTGATTTTTCACAATGTTCTCCATCAGTTTGAACAATTGGCGTTATTAAAAGACCATGATGAGTTTGGGAATTTTGAGAAATTCGATCTTCAATTTTTACACGATGAATTAAATTATTTGTAGTTAAATTAAAAGTTAATAATTGTGCCGGACACACTTGTTCCTCCTCAATCACTCCATTATCTAATACCCACAATCTGTTGCACCTGTCAATCTATAAATAAATATAAATAAATATATATTAATGTATTTATTAATTTTTATTAAAAAATTTAATTGCAACAAATAATAATAATTATTATTATTACAAAAATAATAATAAAACAAATAAAAAACAATAATAATAATTATTATTATTCTATTAATATTTATATAATAATAATAATTGAAAACCAAAAATTTGGATACAAACAATTTTTTTATAAAAAAAAAATCTATTATTATTTATTGAAAATAAACTGACAGCGATTCTAAAAACATTAGTAATGCTATTGCAGTCGCCTTTTTTATACCAGGACCAATCAGGATATGGTTTTAATAAAGGACCTCCAGGTCCTTTTTGATTAGAAACCACTCCTAAACTCGCTGGAACTCCTTTGGTCCTGACTATAGTAACAAATGTTCTTCCATCTAAAATAAATAAATAAATTATTGAATAATAAAAAAGATATTAATTCCTTAAATCGTTTTTTTTCTTTAATCCATATACAAATATATATAAAATTAATTTAACTTGAAATTCTTATTTAATTATTCAAATTAATTTTATGAATCAATTAAATAATTGAAAAATTAAAAATAATTTTAAAAAAACAATTAAGAAAATTAATAATACTTTTGAACAATCAATAGTACATTGAGAAAATTAATTAAAATAATCTATTATAATAATTGAAAAAAATAATAATTTAAAAGAAATTATTAACAATTGAAAAAATTAATAATAACATTTAAACAATAAATAATAATTTTAAAAAAGAATAATAATTGAAATTATGAGTAATAATTGAAAAAATAAAAATAATTAAAAAAAATTACTAATAATAAATTTGAAAAAAATGACTAATAATTGAAAAAAGTTACTAATAATTGAAAAAAATGACTAAAAATTGAAAAAATTAAAAATAATTGAAATTATGACTAATAATTTAAAAAATAATAATAATTAAAAAAATGACTAATAATTTTGAAAAAGTTACTAATAATTGAAACAAATAACTAAAAAATTGAAAAAAATGACTAAAAATTGAAAAAATTAAAAATAATTGAAATTATGACTAATAATTTAAAAAAGAAGAATAATTGAAAAAATGACTAATAATAAATTGAAAAAAATTACTAAAATTGAAAAAATTAAAAAATAATTGAAATTATGACTAATAATTGAAAAAATAATAATAATTAAAAAAAATGACTAATAATTGAAAAAAGTTACTAATAATTGAAAAAATTGAAAAAAATGACTAAAAAATTGAAAAAAATGACTAAAAATTGGAAAAATTAAAAATAATTGAAATTATGACTAATAATTTAAAAAATAATAATAATTAAAAAAATGACTAATAATAAATTTGAAAAAGTTACTAATAATTGAAACAAATAACTAAAAAATTGAAAAAATTACTTAAATCGAAAAAATTATAAAATAATTTATATTATGACTAATAATTGAAAAAATAATAATAATTAAAAAATGACTAATAATTGAAAAAAGGTACTAATAATTGAAGAAAATGACTAAAAAATTGAAAAAAATGACTAAAAATTGAAAAAATTAAAAATAATTGAAATTATGACTAATATAATTTAAAAAAGAAGAATAATTGAAAAAATGACTAATAATAAATTGAAAAAATTAAAAAATAATTGAAATTATGACTAATAATTGAAAAAATAATAATTATTAATAAATGACTTATAATTGAAAAAAGGTACTAATAATTGAAGAAAATGACTACAGAATTGAAAAAAATGACTAAAAATTAAAAAAAAAATTAAAAATAATTGAAATTTTGACTAATAATTTAAAAAATAATAATAATTAAAAAAATGACTAATAATAAATTTCAAAAAGTTACTAATAATTGAAAAAAGTTACTAATAACTGAAAAAAATGACTAAAAAATTGAAAAAAATGACTAAAAATTGAAAAAATTAAAAATAAATGAAATTATGATTAGTAATTTAAAAAAGAAGAATAATTGAAAAAATTACTAATAATAAATTGAAAAAAATTAATAATAATTGGAAAAAAGTAATTTTTGAAACATACCTTTTGATCGATCAACATCAATAAGAATGGGACTGGTAAAATTATAATTTCCAGATTTGATAGCTTCATTTTTGGCTTCTGGTGAATTCCACATGTAATCAATATATTTCCATTCATAAATGAGATTCATTTTTTCGGCATGTCCCATTATTATAATTATCAAACAATAAACGAGGATAAATTGCAAATAAAATGCCATATTTTATATAGTATAAATATTTTTTTTTTCAAGAGAAGTGTATACAGGAATACTACGAGAAATAAAATAAAATTCATTATGAAGAATTTAATACAGAAATCAGTATAATTATTATCGCTGAAAATGAGAGAAAGAGAGAGAGAGAAAGGAAGGAAATAGACCAAAGAGTTTCCTGCTTTACGCGCAATAATTATAATATTTATGATTAATCGTGAAAAGTATGGTGGTGATAAGCCAGCGCTCATCCAATATGTTTTTTAATTAGTTTTATTCTAAACAAATGCCGAGAGGGATTTAAATTGCAAAATAAAATTTTGTTATAAGGAAAATTAATTATTTTTTTCTTTTTTTTTATATGCACCACAACATTGAGAATATAATATTTAATATAAAAATAAAAGAAAAAAAAAATATATGAATAAGTATATATAGAAAAAATAAATATTATATTTTATAAATTATATAAATTATTATTATTACTTTTTTTTGATTTTTTATTATAAAAAAAATTTATTTTGCAAATTTTAAACAACTGACTATTGACAAATAAATTTTCTATGTAATTATAATTAATTAAATTGTTTCTTACAAATTTTGTTGTTTATTCTATTCTATTTTTTAGCAAAAAACTTCCAAGAGAATAATTCTGCATCGTTCAAAAGTTATGACACAACAGAAATGAATTTATAGAAACATACATTTATACATGGAGGATAATTATTTAAAGAGTAAATATTGAATCTCATCATTATATCCATACACATGAAGACTTTGTCCATAAAATGTTTTAGTGTCACATAGTGAATATTTTAACTAACAAATAACAAATTAAAAAAAGAGAAAAAAACTGATGAAATGAATTGAATTGAAAAAAAAGATGAAATCAGTGATAAATTTAAATTATTAAATTGTATATTATTTTTTTTTTTTAAGAAATCAAAAGAAAACTTGTTCTTATGCAAAACCAGTTTATAATATACATATGATATGATGCGCAAAAAATAACGAAAGTAAATATATTTTCCACAGAATGGACCAATTAATTCGATTTTTGAATTAATAAATTTTGAATATTTTTATTTATATTTTACATTTTTATATTTATTTTATTTTTATTTATGTTTTTTGTTTTAATTATAATTTAGTGTATTTTTCCGCTTTTTTCTAGATTTTTAGAATGTAAATAAAATAAATGTAACAGTTTATTATATTTAAATAATAAAAAAAAATTAGTTACATAATAAAAAAATTATAAATAGAAAATAAAATTATGTTTTAATTTTTATATTAAATTTAACAAAATTTATTATTTATTTATTAAATTTTATGTACAGTAGCAAATAATTGTTACTTTAATGAAAATTTCCTTTTGAACTGCAACTCAGATTTCTGTAATACAATAAGCATTGCCGTACAACAGGCGCAGATTTATTTTTCAAATAATTCAATTTATTTGAAAAAAAAAAAAAATATCCCACCATTAAATCAATTTTTTTAATTCTTTCAACAAAAATTTTTTTAATTTAATTTTTTGAAATAAATTACAAGAATCAAATTCGATAATTAAATTTTGATTGAAAAATATAAATAAATTTTTCTTTTATATTTGCTTTCTTTTTTAATTAACAATTAATTTAAAAAAACAAAAATTCTTAAATGGAAAAAATTTACTGAAAAGAATAGAAGAATAGAAAAATAATAATAAATATCAGTTATATATTAAAAAACATTAATTAAAAAACAATATTTATTATTACAATAATTTAAAGTTTGACATACACAAACTATTTTTTATAAATAGAAAAAATTAATTTTCCATTTCGATAAATCTCGTATAAAATTGCTATAGCAATTAAAAAATTACAAAACACTCAATTTTCACCAAAAAAAAAAAAATTTTCTATCAATTATATTTTTTTACAAATTAATATTCTCATAAATCGTCACATTATTTCCAATTATAAATAAAATTCTACATCTATAAATTACATAATATATGGTACTTGTTTATCATTTCGATATTTCTTTTATCACGCAAATTTAAAAATCATTCGAGATTAAAAATTGAATAACTCGTTTTGATTTTTTCGTCAAAAAAAAAAGAAAAGAAAATAAAATTGCCTTTTTTTGAGGGATTTAAGAAAAAATCTCTCCTCCTTTTTTTATCACTAAAAAAAGATTTGACGCTTAAAAAATTGTTTGAGCAATTGCCGTATAACAAAATTTTTGATTGAAAAAATTATTTTATCTCAATAAAACTTGATTCTTTTGGTTTTTGATTTGTCATGAAAAAAACAATTTTATATAAACAAAAAAAAATTTAGTTGGTTCGAAACAAAATTTTAGCTTAAATTATATCTCAATAAAAAAAAATTGCCACAATTTTCGTTAAATCAAACTAAAATATTTTCAACCATCAAAACAAAAGAATAAATAAATCAATAAAAATTTTGTTCAGCTTGCAATTATAAAAATATTAATTGAACCAATTGTGAAAATATTTGGTTATTCCAAATATGATTGGAATGAATATAAATTGTTTTTTTTTTCAGTATTCTCTCATCCATGATCAATATAATAGCTATAAAACGCAGGCCATTTAATAAAACTGTGAATATATTTGGTGTCTCCCATGTACCGCGAGAAGTATGAAGGATCATAATGATAATGATGATGATAATATGGAAATGAAAAATCATCATCAAAATGAAAATCATGACTAGGAAAATGATGAAACCAGAAGGATGTACTACTTTTCTGGTGGAATTTTGATGATGCAAATGGCTCCTCGCGGTACCACGACCTTCAACTGGGAAAATTAATTGGATCAAAATCTTGAGTTAAAATTTGTGGTGGTCGTGTTGAAATTTTTGTTGAATGATGAAAATTATGATGATGATGATGATGATGATGATTATGATGGAATGTGACATCGCATTTAGTACCACGAACCAATTCCTCAATGTATGCTGCTTGAATACGAAAATTCGTCTCATTTGGATGCAATGAACCGCTCATGTATCTTTGAAATGACGATGTTAATACCCAAAGTTCCTGTCGACCTGATTCGTTCGTTACCACCTGTAATTATGTATTTTTTTTTTTAAATTAATTTATTAAATTAAATTTATTATTACATTTTTACTCATTTTATTCGATATTACTATAATTTATTATTTATTTATTATTATTATTATTATTTATTATTTATTAAAATTATACGTTTACTTTTTTTATTCGATATTAATATTTTTATTATCCCAGAAAGTATTTTTTTGACAATAAATTTTTTTTCTCTTTTTTTCAGTAATAGGAAAAAAAATTGGATCCTGCTCAATTAGGATAAAAAAAAGATTTTTCATAATTGAAAATTATACCTTGACACCAGATGGAAATTGTAAAGTGTCACCGTCAACAGCCACAGTTTCCATATTGAGACCACCAAATTCCGGATAATCAATGCTGTTCCAACATCCAATTGCCAAATCGGACATCAGTCCATAAAATAAGACACCATTTCGATCCATTGCTTCTGCGGCTGATTGTGAACTTCTTTCCATTTTAAATGGTTTAAATTCCCTTGGAACTGCCTCCGCATGTTCGTGAAATAAACTAAAATTTCTGTTTTGAAAAGAAATTTAATCAGAATTTTTTTTTTAATTTTTAAAAATATTAAATAAAAGATTTAAAAATTTTAATTTTTTAAAATTTTTTACTAAATTTTTAAAATTACTATTATTATTATTATTTTTATTATTAATGCCATATTTATAATTATAATAATTAAAATTATTTATTTATGGAAAATATTGATTTTTTACAAAATTAATTTTTTTTTTTAGAAATTATATCAAAATTATTTTAATTAATTTACATAAATACAGTATAATAATTTGATTATCTTGTGACCGATTTGCAAAAACACTCTACTAAATAATTAATAATAAATCGTCAGGAATGTAATTAATTTATACGAGAAAAAACAATTGAGTATCATGAAGATGGTGTAATTAAACTGTTTTAAATAACGTTTACATTTTACGGACCTTGAAAATAATTATTAATGGTGAAAGGGCCCGCAATGGAAATTTTATAGATTAACCTTGTGGTTTGACTTCATTTTTTTTTTTTAAACAATAATGCTTTCTAAAAGTTTAACGTATTTTTACATCATCCATTGTTCTTCTATAACTTTTTTACTTATTTCTTTTTCGCGATGATATAACCTTACGTTTGTACAATTTTTTTTTTTTAATTTTCGTCAAATCGTATTTACGTATTTAGATCATTAATATTATTATAAAATATATAATATATTATAAATAAAATAATAATTTATAATAATGAAATTAAAAATAATAATAATTTTGTAAGCTCATTTATATTTTAAATAAATAATAAATTATTAAATAGAAATGAATAATAAAATAATAAATAATAATAAAAAATTAATAAACCTAATTTTTAAAATAAAAAATAATTCATTATTAAATAGAAAATGGAAAAAAAAATTTAATACAATTATTAATTAATTTTCAGTATATTCACCTGATAACGGATGTAGAAACCCGTGATTCAACTTTACTGGCCAATGAATGAAAATAGAGAATTCTATCGCCATCGGAACAAATTGGTCCCAATGCAAGGCCCAAAATTCCATCCATCAAATCAAAGGTTTCATTTTTAATATGAAATGTCCCATGTGTGGGATATGGATAAAAAAGTTTATTGTAAATTTTCCACGATCTCGATTTTTGATGATCGTAAACAATTAATGCAAATGATGTCACATCGGCAATATAGACAAATGTATCACGACATTTTCCATTTTCAGGACGAACATCAATTACAGGCGTGACAAATAGTGAATCCTCTTTATATTGTTCTTTTGGAAATCTATAACGGCTTAATAATTTATTTGTCTCAAGGGAAAATGAAAGAATTTGCGGTGGACACTTTCTGTGATCACCCAATACACCTGTGTCCAAAATCCAAATCCTCCGACAATCGTCGATCTAAAAAAAAAAAAATTAAATAATTAAATTTTTATTAAAAAAATCTTCAAAAAAAAATTTTTTTTTTTTCAAATATTCATCCCTTTTTTTTACAATAAAAAATAAATCGTATAAAAATAATTTTTATTAATTAAAATATCATTTTGGAGGAAAAAAAAATAATTTTCTATTAATTCTTCATAAATAATAAAACGATAAATTAAAATTATTTGAATTGCAATTATTTTACTGCAATCGTTTATTTAATTTGTTGAAATGTAAAATATGTCAGGGAACTATTTGAAAAGAAGCAAAAAAAAAAAAAAGGTATATATTGATTTGGTATGCATGGTTTGCAATTAAATATATATATATTTATCAATCACGAATAAATTGTAGAAACCTGTACTCTGTAGACACTTATGATGCCGTCGCAATTTTCCAAGGTATTCCACGACCAATCTGGATATGGTGCTATTACTGGATTATTTTCCTCCGATAATGCATCAGTCACATAACCCAGTGTCATTGGCACGCCTTTTTGAAATCTTGGAATTGCGACAAATATCACTGGACCGTAATTACCTGCAATTAAATTACTTTTTTTTCAAAATCATCACTAATTAGATTATAAAAACATATTTTAAATCATAAATTTTTTTTCCAAAATTAAGAAAATTATTTTTTCTATATTTTTTTCAAAAATTAAAAAAAAAATTCAAATATTCCAGTCATAGAATATTTTGGAAAAAAATTTTTAATATCATTATTAATATTATTATATTATTTATATTGATTATATATTTTAATTAAATTAAAAATTAATTAAAATAAAAAAATAAAATAAAATTTAATCGATTAATTAAAATTTTCAGATTCAAAAGAGATAATAATTATTTTGTCTCACCTCCATAATCGACATCAACATCAATTGGCACTGGATTCCCGGGTATAAAATCACCGACTAAAATGGCATTTTCCCTCGCCTGATTATTTGGAAAAGCAAATTCCAATGCCTTCCAAGAATACACGCCCCTTAGTTTATTCACTGTTGATTGTGAATTCACGGCAATTAGCAAAAAGACCAGGAAAACAATTTGCAAAGTCAATTCAAGTGTTTTTTGCATTTTTCATGCAATTTCTGAAAATAAAGAAAAATTCTCATACAAAAAATGTCCATATTATTAAAACTATCATTTTTGCAAAAAAAAAAAACAATGGATTTCCATTTTTTATAAACAATTATTTGTTTTGCAAAATAAATAGATTACAAATAAATAAATAAACTAAATAGGTGTAAAAGGGAGATTTTTATAATATATATATTCAAAAAGAAAATTTTTTTCCCAACCGAATATAATTTATTAGAATTCAATAAAAATATTTCCTTGTCTCAGATGCTAGATATTTTTTTTTTTTTTTTCTTTCAAATACGTGAAAATTAAAAAAAAAATTAAATAATATAATAAAAATTTACATAAAAACCAAATAAAATTTATAATTTTATTTTATTATTAGTTTATTTTTTTTATTTTGAAATAAATAAATATTTATTTAGTTCTGAGATAATTTTTTTTTTCCTACACTTTTTTAAACATTTCTTTAAAAAACGTCACATGCCTTAGAGAATGGAACCCCTTTTTTTTTTGCTAACCTGTCATATAATTCTGTTCGCGTAACATGTATAAAATAATTTATATATTGTTGAAAGTATTTAACAATATTGTTTATTTGTCCATATAGAATTTTTGCATAAGAGATTATGTATATATGCAATCGGTAAATATAATAATTGCTCGTTAAAGAGAACAAAAAATAAAAAAAAATATATATAAATATTATAAAAAGTCTCCCATAGAATTTTACATATATATATGTTATATTCTAAAATGGTAGAGATGTTGACGAAAAAAAAAACGTTTAAAGAAGAAAAAAAAATCTTAGAAAGAAATGCGTGTCAAGGTGTATGTTAAAAATCGTTAACAGTACTTTACATGTACAATAAAGGAGGACATAAACGCATTCTTTTGCATTTTTTCTATGACAAATTTTCTGAGTCAGTTTTTCAAGTTTAAAACAATTTTCTTTATTGTCTTAATTGCCGGTATTTAGTTTAAGATGAATTTTTTGATTAAATCATATAATTTTCCAATGGAACGAATTTTGTATAATTCTACAAATTCAAAAGAAAAATAAAAATTATTAAATTAATTTTCTAATTAAAAATAAAATAATTACATAAATTATATTTAATTTTAATTTTTAATTTAAATTAAAAGTAAACAATTAAATGTCTTTTGCATAATATTTTTTTTCGACTATCAGACTATATTTATTTTTCTCTAATAAAAATATTTTCCGTTTCTTTGAATTCATTTTTTAAATTAAAATCACGGAGAGAAAGAATTTTAATTTTTTCCGCAATGATGCAATTGCATTTGGAATAAGGCACACAATAAAATACAATTTTTTATTTTTTCTAGTAAAAAAAAAATAGTTTTTCCTTGAAAATAAAGGACATTTCCCAAATTGACAATAAAAAATGTCTATTTCTCTCTCTATATACATTTACTTTTTTTTCAATATGACATAAACAATTCATGAATAATTTACTAGACTCCTTGATAATTTTTCTGTCAACTTTATCTCGTTTTGCACAGCATTTAGGTTTTAAAAATCCTATTAAAATTTTTATTTGTTTTTAAATTTACATTTAATTAAAAAAAAAAAAAAAATGAACACACAATAAAAGAATCATTTCAACTATGTATATAACCATTTAAAGTAATATTTTAGTGTTTGAGTTTTACGTACTTGCGTTAATAAAAAAAAATCGCATACAAACAGATTAATTATAATAAATTTACAAGTAAATATTTATCATTTCCCTACGAATGCTATTTATTACAAAATACTTTTTAGTTTATACTTTATTCTGATTAATTTTTTCACAATCAATAGATTTGTTTATGATTTTGTTTTTCAAATATACTAATTAGTTAATTAATTTTATAATTAAATGTTCAATTATAAAAAATATAATTAACTGTAATTAAACAGTAATTGTAAGAAAGAAACAATTGGCATATATATAAAAATATTTAAATTATAATATAAATTGTCATTTAAGTACAATTTTTTTATTTTTCTATTTATTATTTTTAATTAATATTTTTATTATTTATTCTTGTAAATTTATTTTAATTATTATGTTTCTGTCAATTTGTCAATAATCAATATAAAAAATTTATTTTGTACTATAAATTTCTAGTGCAGTTAAAATGAAATGTCACTATAAATAATTTTCTAACTAATTGCTTGTCAACTAAAATTATTAATTTCACTGCAATCAATAAAAAATATATTGTAGTTTGTAATTTATTTTCATTTTTCGTTAAGATTTATGGACAAATTAATTTTTGTGTAATAAACTCTTGTTTTATGATCCAGAGATTGATATAAGTGGCAATCAATAAAAAAATAATTAAATTGTTCAAATTTCGAAAGAAAACAAAAATATTAACAAAAATTTTTCGAACATTTTTTTCATTTATCAATTAACAATATTGTTAATTAGTAATTTTGTTAATATAATTCAGTAATTTATGAATATAAAAATGCAGTATTTCAAATTGTAAATTAAATTGTAATTGTAATTGCAATTGTAATTGTAATTGTAAATGTAATTGTAATTGTAATTGTAATTGTAATTGTAATTGTAATTGTAAATGTAATTGTAAATGTAATTGTAAATGTAATTGTAAATGTAAATGTAATTGTAAATGTAATTGTAAAATTGTAAATTATAATTTAATTTAAAAAATGTAATTCAATTTCAAATATTAATTTTGAAAAAAATTTAATTTAAAAAATATTCTTTTTTTTATTCATGAATTTAGAAAATCGAAATTTTTAAATTAAAAATCGAAAATCAATAAAAAAATAATTAAATTGTTCAAATTTCGAAAGAAAACAAAAATATTAACAAAAATTTTTCGAACATTTTTTTCATTTATCAATTAACAATATTGTTTATTAGTAATTTTGTTAATATAATTCAGTAATTTATGAATATAAAAATGCAGTATTTCAAATTGTAAATTAAATTGTAATTGTAATTGCAATTGTAATTGTAATTGTAAATGTAATTGTAATTGTAATTGTAAATGTAATTGTAAATGTAATTGTAAATGTAATTGTAAATGTAATTGTAAAATTGTAAATTATAATTTAATTTAAAAAATGTAATTCAATTTCAAATATTAATTTTGAAAAAAATTTAATTTAAAAAATATTCTTTTTTTTATTCATGAATTTAGAAAATCGAAATTTTTAAATTAAATCGAAAAAAAATATTATCGAAATATATTAGCGGGAATTATTTTTTAAATTTTATTTATGTAAAATAAAATTGAATATATACCTGTATTGGGAGCGTTATCTAAATGGAAATTCAAATTTTTTCGTTTTTGATGATTAATTTTGTAACTTAATGATGACAAATCAATAGTGCGAAACAATAATCTTCTTATTGCCTTTTTTCCTTTTTTTCCACTTTCACTGACACTGCACTAAAAACTAACAATTGGCAAATTTTTTCAAGATTAAAAATTTTCACGTTTTTTTTCTGTTGAGAAAAAAATTTTATTTAATTTTTTTTATCATGTTTGTTGATTTTTAAATGGAACGACCCGTTTCAATGAGGCGCTCCAACCGGTAAGACGGTCACAGATAGACTGCGATTTGGACAGTTTTAAACGAGCAAAATCTCACAACAGGTATAACTGTATAAAAGTTCCTGAGAAAAATGATCGTGAATTACAAACGTTTACAATAATTATTTACAATGATAAATTATTAACATTATTTTAAATAAATATTACTTATTCAAGAAATTTGGGTTTTTTTTTTTAGAATTAAAAAAAAATGTTTAACAATTTTTTTTTTTGTATTTTATTATTTTTCTTTCACCTTGTAAATTTTTGTAAAAAGTAAAAAAAAATGCAATAATCGCGAGTGTAAAAATCATTTATCTAAAAGTTATGAATAAAACCGTTAAAGTTACGCTTCGAAGTTTACTGATTTTATTTTTTATAATTAAATCATTCGTTTTTTGTAATAATTATTCGCTTTTAGTTTTAATGAAAACGGAAACTTTTTTTTTATCGAAAAACTATTGTAATCTAGATTAAATCAAATTAAAAAATTATTAAAGAAAAAACTAATTTGAAATAAATAAAACTTTATTTATTAATTTAGTAATATTAACATTAATTAAAAATTATTTAATTGGCCAATGTAACTATAATTATATAATATAATAATAATTAATTGAATTTGTTAAATATTTATTAATTGATTAATTCCCTAAATAATTAATAAATTAAATTAAGGAAAAAAATGCAATTTAAATAATAAAAAAAAACAAAGAGAGAAATAATTTTGATTTTGTGAAAAAATATAATTTTAATAAAAATTTGATTATATCAATTGTTCACTGGAATTTTGTTTATAATTGATACTACTCAAGTTTTAATTTCTTTTTACATTTCTCTTGAAGATAAAAAATATATTACATTGGTCGTGAATATTTGTTCTCGGCTTTTTTTTCAATTATATAATATACATTGCAAGAAATTTTCTGAAAAACAATTTTGTTCAAATCACTGGAAAAAGGTGTAACAAAATTTTTACGAATGAAAAATCTACAATTACCATTCTGTTTATGTAAATTTGAATGTTATACATATATTTTAATAATTAATAATAGAAAAAGGGTATTTAAAATTTTTCAGATTTCACACTCTACGTTTAGTATCATTTTTTTTTTTTTTTTTTTTTTTTGTTATATAACATTCGTGAAAAATTATAGGTATAGGTAAATTTTACACGTTTGTCTATTATTTCATTTCGGTTGAGAATGTGAGTTGAAAAAAAAAATAATTGAAACAAAACATTTTTAAAGTTAATGCACAAAAAAATAAATAACAAAAAGAAATTTAAAAAATTAATAAATAAATAAAATTAAATAAACGAAATTTGGAAATTGGTTAATAAATTATTTATATTAATATTATGAATATAGTGATTCAAAATACAAATAAGTATAACAACAGTCAATGACGAAAGTGTTATTCTCGCTGTTTTAAAGCGCATAAATTAGATTTACAAGTACTCATTTACTGTTCATTCTTTACTTGGCTTTCACATTTTCTTTCACTTTTTTCAATAGTATTTAGAAATAAATTCAATTTTTAAACAAACATCACTTAAAAATGATATTTTAATTTATGAATTTTTCATTTTATTTCCAAAGTAAATTTAAAAAAAAGCAAAAATAATTTAATATAAAATATAAAATTCCATTAAAAATTCAATTTTCATAAATTATTAATTTTAATTTTTATTAGAAATATAAAATTATATCAAAATAAAAATATAATTATTCATTAAAAATATTTATAACATATAGAAAATATAAAATCATTGGGAAAGTATGAATTAAGAGATAATTTTTTTTTTTTAATTGACTAGAAAAGTGAAATTGAACTAAAGCATTCGACATTTGGAGTATTTGTATTTTGCATAACGCATTTTGTACTTGATAAACTAGCTTTGCATATTATCGGTTTATAAATTTCTCTTTGCTTAAATTGTTGTTCTGTATGACATATTGTATTTTATTTATTTATATTATTTATTTTACAGTTCTTATTAAAAAAAAAAAATTGACAAATTTAGAATAAATTAATTTTTGGAAAATTTGTTTTTGAATAATTTTAAAAAAATTTTGAATTTTGAAAAGAAAAAATAGGAACGAAAAATTAATTAACGATTTTCCAATAATGCGCATAGATCGAAAATGTTATGTGTAATGTAATACCTGCGAGATATATATATATATATATATACAGAAAATAATTAATATTCATTAAATTAATGAAAATGGTTCGCATTTAAATAAGTTACATGTCTATCGATTTCACTGTACATAATATGAATCTAATTTATAATCAGTTTCTTCGCGTTGTAATCGAGGCAGCTTTCGTCTATTTGCGAATAGAATAAAATAGAAACTTGTTCAAGTGTATTACATATGACTTTGATAAATATTTGAGAAAAAAAAGGGAGAAGAAAATATATATACTGAAGTTAGACAAATAAAAAAGTTTTACTAAAATAAATTATCCAGTTCCACTTCCGTTAATTGGCAATGTGTATTATTAACTAAATCACTATTTACGTAAACGTTTCTAATACTATATACAAGCAGTAAAGTAGCTTTTCATTAGTGTCAAGTAAAACTTTACTTATGTCAAAGACAAGGGTCAATGTATTAGGTCACAATTGACACTAGTTTATTAATAATTATTTTTATTTCTCTCTTACATTTCTTTTTTTTCATGATTCATTTGAAAAAGGAAAATTTTTTTCTAATTTTTTTTTTTATATTTGTCTTAATATAATTTTCAATTTTTGTTTCAATTTTCTAATTTTTCAATATTATTATAATTAATCTTTTTTCTTGGCAACAAATAAAATAATAAATTCAAAATTTTGTATCAGTGAAAATAAAATTTTCCTATTTTATTTAAAAACAAAATTCAAATTAAAAAATAAGAAATTACCTACGAAGAGGAATTTTATAAAAAAAAAACTATTAAATGTGTAAAAAGAGAAAAAAAGGAAAGATTGGGAAATTTAACAGAAAATTCGTCGCTTTTGTATTGTATATATACAGCGAAAGTGTCGAAAACGTAATTTTTCTAAGTCACGTCTATATTATACTACACGTACGGATATGCTATATCGATTGAATTAAATAGATAAAAAAACACTTTCCATAGCAAACATTCCTATGCCTTTATCATTGACAAATCTGATAATTGTTTAGAAAATCGATTTTATGTGGCAATGCAAAAAATAAAAATAAAGATTATTTTTCATATAGTGAATTACATTTTATAATCAAAAAATAAAAAAAAACGAATAAAAACAAATTTATATATGAAAATTTAGAGAATATTTAGAAAATAAATTGTGATGTCATAAGAGTATAGAAATTTTCACTGTAAATTTATTATAGATACTTTCACACGTATTACAATCGACCGGTTCATTATTAGAAAAATAATGATATCGAACTGAAATTACGCGAAACGATTAAATGTATTTCAAATTATTCAATTAATTTTCATTTCAGAAAAGAAAAAAATTATTCATTATATACACGAAAATTTATTTTCCTAATTTTCTAAATATAATTAAATTAGTTGTGAATTTTAGTAAATTTTTATTATTAAATAAATATTCGTTTTTTCTATTTTGTTATTAAAAATTATTCATTTGAAATAAATTTAAATGTTTAAATTTTCAATTTTTCCGGAGTCATTTTATTTTACATATTTATAGTTTTAGTTTATTTTATAATTCATTAATTTATTTATTTTACTATAAATTGTGATTTTTTATTTATTAATATATTTTTTTAAAAAATCGTGTGGAATATAGACTATATTTGTGTATAAAAAATAGTTTCGTTCATTTTTAATTTTTTAATCATCAAATTAAAATTTTGTTTTTAATATTTATGATAAAGGACTGTTTTATCAACTAAAGTTTATTAAAATGCAATGAATTAAAAATTGTAAATTTTTTTCCAATAAATTAATCAATTAATCAAATTAAAAAACGTTTTTATAGTTTAAATGTTTTTACAATGATTTTTATACATAATTATATATAAAATTAATGTATAAAATTAGGTTTTTGCAATGTTTAAATTTTGTTCAATACAGTCTTTAATTATTTTACACAGAAAAATTATATTTCGACAATCTTTTTTTTCCACTAATTAATCAAAATTACAAAAGAAAATTATTATTTACAGGTATTTATTATGAATTATTTAAAGTAATAATGAATATGAAATATTGAAATTGTTTTTTAAAAGCATTAAAAAAATACAATTTCTCTGTATTTGAATTAATTGTATATTTATACAAGATTTTATTATTCGTTTAAAAATTTTAGTTGATGATTTTTTTTAAATTCATCAATGATTTTGATGAGTGATCAATTTATTAAAATCTCTATAAGAAATTTTTAAAGTTGCACATTTTATAGCTGCAAACTATTTTTGCAAATTATTTTTTGTAGAAATTAATTTTTAATTTTTACTTTCAATTTTTTTTTCTGTTAAATGTAATTTTTTTTGTTATTTTCTTTCTAAGTACAAAAAAATTCATACTACCCTAAAAATATATTCTTCCTTTTTTTTTTTAATTGACAAATAAATAAAATGAAATATTGAAATCACTTAAATTAAAAAATTTTAATTATCAATTTTTTAAAATTATTATTTGTCAAATTTTATTTCAAAATTGACGTCAATTTTAACTTATTTTAGTTTCATGAGTTTTAAATTACTATAATAATGAAACAAAAGAATGTTGAAAATTTAATGTCTGAATGTGTTATTATTGTAAATAGAATTTGGAAAATTATATTGTCCCTTATGTGATGGATGCATTTGTGATGGTCGTAATCGCATAATTCGAATGTTCGTTTGTCGAGCGTCAATTTTCCTTAGGAAAAACTTTTGGAATTTTGTTGAGAGCATCCAAAGATTTTCTCTGTCCCTATCGATAAATTTAAGTTCTGCCACAAATTGCAATTGTTCTGGATTGTAGGCAAGTATCCTGCGAGAAATTAAAAAATTAAATTAGAAATTTAATAAATACAAAAAATAAACAAAATATATCAGAAAACAAATAAAATAATAATAAATAATGATAAATAAAAAAAAAAACCTGTAAAGTAATTGGAATAAATATTCCATTTTTTGGGAATGTACATAAAAATATTTTTTAAAAATCGCCAATATTTAAAATAATTAAATAGAATTAAAATCAGCAAAACTTGAAAAAAAAATTTCTTCTACCTTTGATCGTTTGATAAAGGATGCCAAGCTGCAATTGCAGTTTCTGTAAGAGGTGAAAAAATAATCGAATCATCTTTAGAGTTAACGGTCAATGCTGGACCTTGACTGGATTTTCGTCCGATAAAAGTAACTGGAAGTTGTTCTCCAAAAGGAGGAGGACCAGCTTGAAGTGCCGATGTTGGAACACTAAAAAGACGATCAGAAGCGAGTGGATTAAAATAAACTGTCCCTAAATTTGCCGAAAATCCCAATCCAATTATTCCGTCTGGCAGTTCAAAAATGTCTTCACCAATCTATAATAAAAAAAAAAACATAAAAATCGTTAAATTTTTTTAAATACACGTCTCAATTATTATTATTATTATTATCAATTATCAATTATTTCATTATTTTATGTAAATTTATATTTTATAATAATTTTAAAATAGGAAAAATATTTTAAAAAAATTTTTGCCTACGGTATTGATATATTTATAATATTTATTCAGTACAACAGTTTTTTTTTTCTTTTTTCCTTCAATTACGATTTATCAAAATCATTTTATTTTGTATGATTAAAAATTACATCTAGGGACACATGAATAATTACATTATTTTTAATTTAGAAAAATAAAGCTACAATTTCTTTTTTTTGTAAATAAAAAAATTAAATCTAAATTTATTTTACCCGATAAGTCATGGAATCGGGATTAGGAAACATGGATGAATGACCGACTCTCCAACTTCTATCCGAAGCACCATCCAGTACAAGAATACCTAAAAAAAATTTTATAAATAAATAAATTATCTAAAAATTGTGTTTATTTAATCCAAATAAATTTAATGGAATAATTCTATATCTCTTGGTTTTTATTTAGATTTTTCAGTTGAAAAATTAATTAAGCAAATAAAAATAATGAAAAAATATTCTTACCAGCTGCAGTAGTATCAGCTATATAGACAAAAACATCGTCACAGGAATTCGCCGTTGTATCATCCATAAGGAAATTTGTTAATAAACTATGAGGTCGTAGTGACTGAAAATTAAATTATTATTAAAAGTATAATCACAAAGAAAATTCGAATTGAATTCAATTTAAATATATATATGATTAAATATTAAATATATATATATAATATATTATAAATTATATATAATTGTATTATATTTTTTTAAATATAAATAATTTTTTTAAATTAATTATTTCTAAAATTCAATTAATTTTGAAATTAGAATTGAATACAATTATTTTGTAAACTCAATTTATTTAATTATTTGAAAAATTCAATTTTTATTTTTTCTATTTGATTAAAAAGAAAATAAAAAAAATTCTGATTTATTACAATTTTAATTTAAAGATTTGAATACAAATTTTTGATTTATATATATATATATATAAAATTTATATAAATTATAAAAATATAAACCTCTCGTGGAAAATGAATCACTCTAACAAGTGTATCTGTTTGTAAATCGAAAACAAGCATTTTTGGCGGACAAACAGGACGAAAATCATCAATTGACGTGATAACACCAGCATCAAGAACCCATAGTCTATTGCATTTATCAATTTTTGTCCTATAAACGGAAATAATTGTTGAACAACTAATATTTCCTTTACCAGCAACATGCCAATCCCATGATGGATAAGCTTGTAATTGTGGACTACTACCAAGTGGAATATCTCTTGGTATAAAATTCAATGTTGATGGTACACCGGCTCTTAATCTTGGTGTCGATATAAATATTCTATGCCAAGAAACTTCAAATCCCGTGGGAACAACATTTTCAGGACGATATAATTGTAAAAAAGCCGCGTCATATGGCAATGCAAAATCCAATAATGGCCATTGAGCTATTGTATCGAGGAGATCAGACCTCGATGGTGTGGTCCATATTATCAGTAGAAGAGAAAATATAATTTTTCTGAAAAAAGAAAAATTCATTTAGTTTTTTTTTTTTCATTTTTCATTTATTAAATTTTTTAATCTAATTTATAATTAAGAGAATTTTTTTTAAATATAGTAAATGTGTGATTAAAATACTTTTATTAACGATCCGTTTTGAAAGATGGTAATTAAATAAACTGAAACTAATAAATCAATAAATAATTGTAAAGATTAAATTTTATCGCCCCTTTTTTGAATTATATTATTGTTATTATTTAACGAAAAATTGTTGCTTTATGTATAAAAAAAAAGTTGCGCATGTTTATTATTTACAGAAAAAAAAGTTCTATGTGGAAAATACTATTCAAACTATTTAGCATTGAAATTGGTGTATATTTACGTAAGGCGTGTATAACAATTGAAGTAACAAATTTAATTGAAGGTTTAGATTTTATTTTACTAGTCATCGTTTAAATTTTAACGAAAGTACTTGCAACATTCCTTTCACATGTCCCATTTTTCAAGGATTGCACTCTAGGAAAGGTTCACTTTCTCGAAGTTCCTGTTACTTTAGGGACCATAATACACTTTTATTTATATATTTTTTCAAGTACAATTTTTTTTTTGGAATTTAAAAATTGAAATTATATTTTCAATTAATTTTTACTATTACTTTTATTTATATATTATTTCAAGTACAATTTTTTTTTGGAATTTAAAAATTGAAATTATATTTTCAATTAATTTTCTTTAACGATTCTATTTAATGTTTAATAATAACGCCAATGAAAATTATTTTCCATTCTTTATTGTGTAATTATTTATTTGAATCGAACCTGTTTATTTAATTGAACTAAATTTTTTTTCTATTTTTATTATGTCTTTATATTTTAAAAATAAAATTATATTTTTAATTTTTGTGTTAAAATATCAGTGAAAGTATAACAAAATGTAATTTTCATGGTTTTCGATTTTTTTTTTATATAAAAAATAGAAGCAGATTTTCATATCTGATAAAATAAATATGTAGAGAAATTTAAATGTACAATATTGGTATGATATGGTGACCAAAGCAACATGGAATGGAAATTATTTTATCGTATAGAAAGGCGAGTGTGTCGTGTTTAGAAAATATTAAATCTTGAAACAATAGCATTGTGACTTTTTATAAACAGATTCAACGTTTGCTTCTTTCATCTTTTCTTAGGCACACCATCGCACGTTTCAATAGAAAAATCTAGATCATATTTGAAAAAAAAAAAAAAAAACACACGTAAATTCTTTCAATGAGTTAAATAAGCGGACATTCTTTTTGTCTTCTTTTTTAAAAATTACAATTATATAACTTTTTTTTTAGATGTTTCCGAAATTCAAGGTTTGGGTTCACAAAGAAGAAACTGAAAAAATTATCATTTTAAAATGTTGAAAGAATATATAATATATACTTTAACACCTGTTAGTTTCGCTTATTTAAAAAAAAAATATTGGATTTTCTTGTGGTGAAAAAAAAAAAAAAAAAAATGCCGAAAATTCAAGGTAAAAATTACAAATTATTATTCACAATTTGTTTCAATAAGTCAAAAATGATTTCTGTAACTCAAAAATGATTTTTATAAGCAAAAATTAATTTTAGAAATAAATATTTGTTTTTACAAACCGAAAATCGTTTCTACGAGTCAAAATTCATTTTTAAGTTATAAAAATTTGTTTTAAAAATGAAAAATTGTGTCCACGATTGAAAATAATAATTTCTATTAGAAATAAAAATTTCTGTTTCGATATTTATTGTAAATTTTTTATATTCTCTTTTTCAAACACGAATTTTCTTTGTTTGTTTTTAATGCAGAAAATTGTTTTTACAAAAACTAAAAATTGTATATCTAAAATTTAGAAACAAAAAATCAAAATTTGTTTTTGCACATTTAAAAAAAAAATAAAAATAATATACAAAAAGCCGGTGAAAACTTAAATTTTCAATTCTCACCTCATTTTTGAAAATAGTCCCAACACAAAATGGGAACAATTTTTTTTTTATTTTAATTTAAAACACCATGCACTATTTTTTGATATTTTCAAAGAAAAAAAAAAAAAAAAAAAAAAAAACTTATTTTTTTTTGTCAATGGTGCCAATATGCATTCGCTTCAATGATTCGATTACCACTGAGAACTCAGGGGGAACTCCACGGGTTTGTTCACGTTTTTCAAAGCCAACTTCGAACTGAGCTTGTTAGACTTAAGACCCATAGAGGAGATAGTGATAGGAGACGTCCATATACTATATTAAACCAAGAACTATTGCAAAATTCTATTCCACATGCTAAACTAAATACGTATGTATATAGAATTTTAACTTTCATATACATGTGTATATCACACATTCATATGTACAATTCTTTCATATTATACAAAAGAATCTTAATAAGTTATACCTTCCAGCTCCCGGATATTGTAAACATTGTTTTTACCACCCTTGTGAAACTTTTAGAGGTCAATTTTTTTTAAAGTGGTAAAAATTTTCAATTCCTCTTTTTATTTTTTTTTTAAACTGAAATTTCTTTTTTAATTATTTAATTTATTTACAATCAAAACAAATTAAAAATTAATATTTTATTTAAATTTTTCAATTTTACGAAAAGAAAAATTTTGTGAGAATATAAAAAAAATTTATTTTCTCTTTAAAGAGAAAAACATGACAATTTCTTGAAAAATAAAAAGAAATTTCAAAAATCCTCGTAGAATAACAAAAAATAAATAAAATCTTCTTAGAATATATATTAATAAATTATAATATTAAATAAGATATTTTTTTGTTCTTAATTTTTTTATATTCTTATTCTAACAATAAAAAGGAAAGAAACAAAATTAAATTGAACTTTCAGTTGAATTAAATTATCACATTCTTGACATTGCCGAAATTTTTACAAAAAATTGCTTTTGTTACATTCCAAATAATTTTTTTTAAAAAAAAGGTAAAAAAATATGTGTACAATTTCAGAAAATGTGAAATACACAATTTAAGGTGTAACACGTTTTTCTGACAAAGGAGAGTGTAAAAGACGGCAAGTAATAATATATTATTATAAATAATTGTTTAAAATGGTAAATTTCAGAGGTAAATATTTTTTTTATTCGGTTCAATTTAAAAGCAAAATAGATATAATAAAAAAAAGGTTGGGTAACTCTTTTATATATTGCCATTACATACATTTTCCTTTCAATATGGAAAATTCACACAATAAATTTCAATACCAGAAGCTTACGAAGAGTTCCAAACATTAATTAAATATATTGAACTTCCAATTTTATAATTGAGAAAATATTTTTTTTTTAATACTCAGAAAATTTGATCTTTTCGTAAAATTACTGCAATTAAATATTCAAAGACAAAAATTACAAATTTTTGGTGATTTTATAATTTTTTAAAATATATTCCCAAATTTTTTAATCTTTTCCTTTTTTAATACTCCGAAAAAATAAAATTAATTTCTTATATTTTTTTTGTCAAAATGAAAAAAATAAAATACTGTTTTCAATTTTTTACTTCTTTTTGCTTTTTCAATTTTTAATTTCATTTTAATTTACAATTTTTTCTTTTCATTTTTTATTATTTTAATTCTTTTTAATTTTCAAATTTCAGTTTTCAACCTAAAATTCAATTTTCCATTCAATTTAAGAGAATTTTCGAATTTTCCATAAAAATAATTCAAAAAAAATTGTTTATAAACAATTTCACCCTTGATATTGTTGTAATTAATTAATATAATAAAATTTTCAATAGTTTTTAAGTTAAAAAAAAAATAAATGTTTTCTTGTTGATGCTAATTATCGAAAATTGTCATCAAATAATCGTGATTGGCGTTGTAATTTAATTTGCATTTTATCTACTTAATGAAGTCACGTGTATGTTTCATTGAGTTTAATTTTTCTTTTACCTCGAAAAATTGTAACGGCAATTCCCATGGCATTTTGAAACACACGCCTCATTGAATTTATGGTTTTTAAACTCATGCGACTTGGTCACCAACAATAATTATTGTTTTTCCCCTATTGATCATTTGAAAACAATTTTCAATCAAAACTATGTGACCGGCCTTGATATCAAAAGTGTAAATCGAAAGTCCACGGAAGCTGCGGCACTCCTGCGTCTATTATTTATTTTTTCGTTGTAACTTCTGTCATTTCGAACTCAATTTTTCCCATTGATGATAAATTATATAAAACTGTGAACATAATATAGATTAGAAAAAAAAGAAATGTTATAATAAATTTTGTAATTAAAAAATTAACAATGTAAATGGAATAATCTAAATAATAATAATAATCCCTATTTCAAAAAATATTTTTTTCATAAAATGAACCTTTAATATTCTAGTTACATAATTATAGGTATAAATTATTTATCGACCAAAAGAGGCGGGTTTAGGTGAATGAATTGCATATCAATTAAATTATTATTAAAGAAAAAAAAACAAAAAAGATTCAGAAGCATAAAAAGTCTTTTGCAATCGAGAGTAATAAATTTCCTTACGTGCCGAACATGTATGTCGTGACTTTTTCATATATATATATATTATAATATAATAGATCAAATTTATTTTTCTAGTGTTCTTTTTTTGTTACCATTAAATAACGATTTATTTCAAAACGAGATGAAAATTGTGTTTAAGAAAAAGAATTTTGTTACCACACAATTTTTTTTTATTATCTAAATTATATCTGTAAATTATAAATAAATAAATTTGTTAAAAAAAAATTTTTATAAATTCGACTATCGATATTATTTGTCATTAATTATTATTATTATTTAACAATTTGACCTTGATGATTATTATTGAAAAGAAAAAAAAATCCCATCCAATGAAAGTAATATCGAGTCATTAGAGCGTGTAGAATTATTTCAGTCAATTAATTATTGGCTATAAATTCGCGTGAGTCGAAATCTGATAACTTCCCTGTTTCTATAAAGCAAATTTTAAAATTAGTTTCGATAATCAAATAGTAGATATGCTATTTCTAAAGAAAAAAAAAAAACTAAAACTAGATCAGTGTTTTCTACTCTGTTTCTTATTCATATCAATTTGTTAATATTACTATTGTTATTATATAAAAAATTAAATAAAGTTACCGCGAATAATTTTTAATAAATACATTAATAAATAAATTATAAAGAATTAATCCACTAGAATTAATAATTTATATTTAATTAATAAACTTAATTATCAATAAAGTAAGTAATAATTAATTTATGAATAAAATTTTATATAAATTTAAAAAAATGTAAAATATTGAAATTATTATTCCTGTATTAAATTTTAATTATTTGTTTGATCCACATTTACTATTTAATCATGAAGTGTTAAATATAAAATTTGTTATAGTGAAATATTTTTTATATTCAATTTTTTTTTTTTTTTTTAATGTCACGGATGTAATTTAATTCCGGGGAGAACGTATCAGATTTTTTTAATTTAACACTTTAGGATTAGAATTAATTTGTCTCATATATCCTTAAAGACTCCTCGTAATCAAATATATTTGACTTTCTCTGTATGTTAAATCATAACTAGATCTGAATTCAATACACTAGATCTTATTGCAAAAAAAAAATTCAAAATAAATAATAAAAAAAATTTTTTTAACTTTCATTTTTATTTTTTTGAAATTGAAACGTTAATTACAAACGTTATCACATAATTTGACTCATTGTCAAAAATAAAATAGAATAGAATGACATTAATCCATTGACATATTAAAAATATTTATAAATTAAAATTGTTTAATTTTAATTTAAATTAATCAACAAAATTAAAAAAAAATTGTAACAAATAAATGTAATGAATATTTGTAATAAAAAATTTTATTTTTTGGATTATGATTTCAGTATTTTTATTCACTATTGTTCGGAAGGAAAAATTGAATTTTTTTTCAACAATTCTGTTTTTAAATAAACAAATTTAAATTTATATATGAAAAAAAATTGACTTTTGTTATAATAGAATTGATTTTTAAATACGCGGATGTTAAATTTATAAATTACTAATAACCCACACGGTCTTATCCTGTAATCATTTGATATAGAGCGTTGCGCATAGAGAATGGAAAACGAGAGAATGTATGTATTATAAGTATTTCTATATATAATTTGCAAGTAACCTTTATACAATATGTTTAACAATCAATAATTTCACGATTTGTAAAATTGTTATTAAATTAAATTAATTACAATTTTTTTCTATATAAAAATCCCCTAAATTCAAATTAAAATCCAATACTTTCTTATGAGAATCAAAAATAATAATTATACTTAATTAATAAATTATTGTAATTTTTTTTATTAAAAATATTAATTAATTTAATAATTCTTTTTAAATAAAAAAATTTTTTTTTCTATTTAAATCCAGTTTTTATTATAAATTTTCATACATAATATAAACAGTTATAAATGTTTTTTTTTTTATACACTTTGAAATTATTTTAAAGTTAATAATAATATAATGTTTGAGAGTATACAATATCTACAAGATAAGCAACGAAGAACCTAATTTATCGCAGCTTTTTCTCACTTTTTTTTTTGTTATTAAATATTTATCGTTAGAAAAAATAAATTACAAGCTACTCTTTATTTTTCTTCATATAGTCAGTTAAATAAGAAATATATATTAATTAGTATAAAAGACTATCATTTGTGCCCTGTTTGTATTTCTAAAAAGTTTTTCTTTTTTTCTATTTATATGGCGAAGAAATAATAATTATTATTATTGTAAGCAATAAATTAATTGTATAATTGAAATACAATATTCAGGAAAAATCGCGTATCAGATTTACTTGAATAAAGCTGAAAAATTTGTTAATTATTTAATTCTATTATTTATTCAATTTGCAATCAGAAAATAGAAACTAAAAAAAAACTTTCAAAAAAAGTTAACCAAAATATAAAATTTAAAAATTAAATAAAATTATTTAAATTAGGTACTTTAAAAGAAATATTCTAAAAAAATTCAAATTAATGATCTAATATTAAAAAAAAAGAAAATTGGACAAATGTCACAATCGATTAAAAAATTGTTTCACTTTCATATTTCTCAAATTAATGAGAGAGAGAGATTAATAATAAGTTTCGATGTTTTTTTAAAGTAAAACTAAAATTGTACACATAAGAAATTTACATATATGACAATATTTATGGAAAATTGTCCATTTTTTCAAAGGTTAGACAAAATGTTTCCTTTCTTTTTTCTTTTATGCTTTTCATCACAATAGAGAAAAAGTAAAAATTTTTTTTTCTTACAATATTTATAGCATCAAGTATAAAGTGTAAAAAAATATTTTATACTCATTTTTTTGATCATTTAACAATAGATATTATATAGGTAAAGGTTAAAAATTTTCAAAGTCAGAAAATAGCTTCTGTTAGAAAAATAAAATAAAAACAATCGCTTTAAAATGATATGGAATGTCTTTAAAAAAAAAAAAAAATATTAAATAGTTTTGTACATTATAAAATAATTTTTTTCTCAGTTAAAATCTAGAGATCATTATTTGGCTCGACTGAATTAAAAAAAATCCTTCATTAAAATAAAAAAAATTTAACTTAAATAATATTAGATAAATTCTAATTATGCACATCCTGCGTGTCATAATCGTACAATCGATGATTTTCTTGTTCAAGACTAGTTGTTATATCGACTCTTAATATGCAACAAATGCATATTGACAGAGAAATTATTAAAATAACCGATATCAATAACATACGTTTTAAAGCTATTATTTCATTATACAACCTGTTGTGACGATCTTCTAAGCGATTTATCTAAAATTTAATTTGAAATTTTATTAAAATTATGTTCTCTGTAAATATATTATTTACTTAATTATTATTTAATCTAGTTACTAATTAATAATTAGTAATTAATTTATTTATAAATGTCACTCTTAATATATCTAATAAATTGTTCATTAATTTTTTTTATTACCTTAGAAAATAGTCCATCGAGTGAACGATCATTAATTGAAGCACTTGATATTGAATAATTGGAGTTGGATTTTAAAATTTCAACATTATCATAACTTCCTTCGCGGCAAATAAGTCGATGTTGTTCCGCTCCTTTTCCAACATTCTATATAAAAAAAAAGACGAAGAAAATTATTTATAATAATTTAGAAAAACAATTTATTTTTTAAAAGGAAAGAATTTTATTTTCCAAGAAAACAAAATTCATTTTATAAATAGATTAACAAGGTAAATTAAATGTAATTAAAACAAAATTTAATTAAACGATCGTATGACCAAATAAACTGCTAAATTGAATAAATAAATTGAATTTTAAGATTGTCTTGAATTTAGTATATAAAAATAAGAAATAAATTTTATAAATCAAAAATAAAATACTAACCTTCCAAAATTCTGCCAATTCTTGAGTTGTCATTTGGGTATCTTTCATGGGAAGGCACATAACGAGAAATCTGTCATTGTGTAATAATCCTCGTAAATTAAAACCAGGTTGTAAAACAACAGTAATTACACATTGTTGTGAAGACATTAATATTCCGGTACTTGGACGTACACGAAATTTTTCCGGAGAAGTGGTTTTTATCTAAATTTATTTTTTTAAAACAATGAATTAATTTTAAATTTAATTATTCAAATTAATTTATAATTCAATTATAAAAAAAAAAACAGAAGTTAATGACAAAAGTTAAAAGAAGTTTTTCTTTACCTTGTAAGACAAACATTTATCGGAAGTAATATTTTTCAATGTAATTGTTCCTACAACTTCATTTCCTTCTTTATTAAATACCAACACTTCGGGCTCAATTGACAGCACTAAAATTCAAAATTTTGTAGCATTAATAAATTTTTAAATAAAATTTAAACAAAAAATTGTCATTAACAATTAAGTAAATTTTAAAGGTTTCTATAATTACATTCTTTATCAACATTTTGTTATTTTCAGAATCTAAGTAACGCAATTTTCATGTCGAAAATATAACAAAAACGTAAAATTAATTCGATTAAAGAAAAATTGTATCCACAGGAAAATTCGATTAAATAAAAATTCCACGAAATGAAAATTCGATGAAATGGAAATTTTGTTAAATAACAATGTAATAAAATGAAAATTTCATTAAACTTACTCTTTTCTTCATTTTTCGTCTGATCTCCAAAACCACTCATTGGCTGTTCAGTCATAGGAGAATTTTCGGCAAAATGAACCTAAAATTTAAATACAATTTTTATAACTACAAAATTCGATAATTAAATTTACTACATTATTTTATGAAAATATTCCAATAATATAAGCTAAGAAAACTATAATGAAATATTTTGAAAAAATTTAAATAAAAAATAATTATATTTTTATAATAGAATAGGACCTTTTTATTATTGTCGACTTTTCCATTAGTCACAGTGCCATTTACTTGATCCTCGGGAATAAATTTAAAAATATATTCACTTTTACCGCCCCATGATTTTAATGCAACATTCAAATCCACATATTCCTTGATATTTGATTTTTTAACAAATTTAATTTTTGGCACCGCTTTCGCTGGCAACCATGATTTTATAATATTAAACGCCGCATTCAAAACCCAGGGCATTTCATAGATGATTATTAAATTCAAAAATTGTGGATAATAACATTTAAAAAGGCCTATAAGATATTTTGTAAATTCCATATCCAAATTCGAAAGACCCGCTTCCGCCATATCAAAAAATATCGATATTTGATTTCCATTTCCTTCTCTAAAAAGAAATTATAAAATTTTGATACAAACTTTTTCTTTTCTGTTGTAGAAAAAAAAAATTAAATTTTCCATAATAACTCAAGAGAAAGAAAAATACCTTTCTAATCTTTCGAACCAATAAACAACGCATCTTTGAAGTTCTGAAAAATCTCTCGAACCCTTTGTATGTAATTTCGATTTTACTATAAACAATTTTTTTCCATCTTTATCGTGTCCATAACTGTAACAAACACCATCTTCTAAATAGTCTCTTCTTATATTTTCTAACGTGATATCTGTAAGAATATAAATAAAATTAATAACTTATTTCATTATTTTTTTTCTAATTTTTTTAACTTTATTACACTTTTGAACATAATAAAAATAAATTATAAATTTCTTTTTTAATTTTTTTGGTGAAAAAGAAAATTAAATTTACCATTTGTGCCAAATTTTCTTCTCCATTCACAAGTATCCCATAACATTTTCAAAGATTCATCCAAACGAAAATCATTATGCTCCAAAAAACGCCTCAGCCAGTCGTCTTGATTTTTTACCTTAGCTACGTCAACGGGATGAAAACCACCTTAAAAAAAAACAGAAAAGAATTATAAATAAATGAAATATTGCAAAAAAATGTTCGATTGTTGAATTTCTTTAAATTCTCACTATAGCTAACGTTGACGTTTAATTTTATGATTTATACCATTAATTATTCAACGATTTATCAAGCTTTGATCTTTGTTCGACACCAAGTGGACATTTTTAAAAACTCTATAGTAACCTTGAAATAAAATAAATTCAAGAAAAATACAAAATCAATTTAGAATTATGTAATTTCTATAATCAATTTCTCACCTTCATTTACATGTAAAATTATTGATATTCTAGAAATAAAAAATTTTTAAAACAGTTTTTTTGATAGTTTTCATATTTGAGCTGCTTGTTTCGTTTTTTAATGAAGAAAATTTAGAAAAATATTTATTTACCATATCTATAAATTATTATTTCAAACATATGATTACCTTCACAATATGAATTATTGAAATATAATGAAAGAAAATTTCGTAATTAGCGTCGATACATTCACTTGGACTTTGAACAAAATTAAGTTTACATTCTAAAATTTATAATATAAAATCTGTTTTTTAATAAAAAAAAATATAAAAAAAAATCAAAAAACGAATAAAGAATTTAAAAAACGTTAAATAATTAACAAATATTGTAAATTTAAAGGCTAAATTTGTTTTCACTCACTTATTTACCTAACCTCTTTTTATGTTTACATTGTTTACACATACAATTTTTCAAAATAAAAAATATAATTTCAATTAAAAATTATTTAAAACAAAAACTCTGCTTTAACATAAATTTTAAAATATGTAATTTTCTTCCAAAATATCAGATGAAAAATTTAAACCATACTTTTTAAGGTTATGTACATACGTTAATTTGTTTTGTTACTCCAAAAAATAGATTTTATTCTACCAATTACTAAAATAAATTTAAAAATAAATTTATCTAAGAAATATAATTATTTTTCTAAAAAAAAAACAACAAAGTTTAAAATTAAATTTCTTGCAAATGATAATTGTGGTGAAAAATTAATTACATGTACTGTTTGATGATTCAGAGAAAATTAAAAATTAATTGCAATTGTAGTTAAATTTTAAATTCAATTCTCCTTAACATTCTCGAGTGATAAAAACAAAAAAAAGATAAAATAATAAATTTATATATTCTCACTAGAATCTGGTGGTCCGTCTTCGTCGAGTTTTTTAAAAAACTTTTCACGCAATTCGCTAATCAGCTGCGCTTGATTATCCATTGTCAATGTCTTTCTCGCACTCTCTTTTCAAAGTCAAATAAACACTGCAATTTTAATGATGATACTTTGACCGGCAAACAAGACAAACTATTCTCACTGATTGATAATAATGAATGCGAAGGCGATTTATTTCCACAGAGACGTTTCGAAGAGTATATCACAAAACATACCAGCGCATGCGTTCGATTAAAGAATGATGTACTGTAAAAATATAAAATATTTTTTATTTATGCATAGATTATTTATTAGATATATCAAAAATAAATAAACAGGTTTTTATATCTTTTGTTGAAGGTTAAAAAATTCAGTACTATATGAAAAAAATATTAAATAAATAAAAAAAAAAAAAAAAAAATAGGTAACAATATTAAAAAATAGTTAAACCAGTGAAGAAACAATAATATTTTTGACAATTTTAATTTAATAATTTCGAATTACTTTAATTTAAAATTTTTAACTTTTTAATTTAAATTTAATTTGTTAATAATAATAATAATAAAAATTGATGATAAATTGATTTTTGATCATCTGTCGATAATCAAGATTTTTACGTTTAACTTTTTGAAATCTATTTATTTATAATTAGAAGAATTTTTTAAAAAAAGATTAATTACCTATATAAGAATAAAAATAATAAATATTTTTTAACTATACCTTTAAATTATTCCGAATTTTTCAAAAGATCATCAGATAAATTTTATTCCAAATATTCCTTTTTTTGGGGAAAAAAAAATCATTCATTTTGTTTCCAACTTCTTGTAAATTTCTCGTGAAAATTTCAAGGTCTGCTTTCCTGAAACATTAATAAAAAAAAATTAATAAAAAGGGTCAAAATAATTAATTATAAGAAATTAAAAAAAATATCTTAAAAAAATATTTATTGTACAAAAATTAGTAAATAAAAATTCTATTTCATAACTAAAATTTTTAATGTATTTATTATTAAATACTTATTTATATACCAATCAGATATAATAAAAACAATTATAAAATATTTCATAATTTAGAAAATTAATAAAATACAAAATAATTTGTAAAATAATAATTTTGTAAGTTTGTTTATTAATATACTTTAAAAACAATATTTATTATTTATTAAAAAACGGAAAATTTATAGATACTAAATTTGAATTAAATAACTAAAACCAACTAAATTTGAATTAACAATTTGAAATCAATTTAACCAATCAGAGAGTAAATACATTTCTATAATTCCGGATATTCGTAACATTCTAAAATAAGAACCTCTCTGATTGGCCGGTCAACGGAAACGAATGTTTGAAAAAAAATTCTTTAAATTACCGCGAAAAATTTAAATTTAACTTTTTGAATTATTACGATAATTTGGTAAAGAGAAAAAAAAGTATAATATCTTGAAACAAATTAGTTTTTTTTTTATTAACATTTTTACAATGAATCGTACATGTATTGGCAATCAGATAAATTATAAGCAATTAAACTAAATTCGATTATATAATCTCACCCATTCGTTAAAATTATATTGTATAATAATAATAATATTTATCAGTACTTAACATAAAATTATAAGTTTACAAACTAAAGACTTGAAAGAAATTTTCTTCAATATTATTGTCATTTTTTTCTTTCATTGTTTTAAATTTTATTATGTACATGTGAAAAATTTTATCTGTCAATTCGATTTCTGTATTATATTATTTAATTCTTAAAAGTTATAAAAAAAAATATACATAGCGCCATTTAGTCTCAGTTTATAATTTTTTTTTTATTCACATTTTTGGTTTATTTTTTTTTATTTTATTAAATGTTGAGTCAAAAAATTGTGTAGGAAAAAATTTCACTTGTAAAGGTTCTAATACACAAAGTAATTTTTGATCAATTAAGAAATAGGATAAAAGAATATTATTTTGGAAAAACTAAAAAAAAAAATTTTTTTGCAAAAATAAAAAAAAAGCTATTTTCTTTGTGGAGAGAAATTTATAATAATTTATATAGCAAAAGTTTGTGAAATTGAGGACATATTGAATTCTACAATTTAGATACACAGAAGGTTTATATACCTATATGTACAATCAAAGTGTTGAACATATATATATATATATATATATATATATATATATATATGCAACTATATAGTCGGGGAAAGTTTATTGCCAACGTCAATTTGAAAATCACGATTTTGCTAGAAATTCTGCTTTTCTCGTTGAATTTTAATTAAATTTATTTTCAAACCTTCCATAATTTTAAATTCAAATAGTACTTTTTGTCAAATAATTCTCCATAAGCTTTATTTTTATAGAAAAAAAAAAAAAAAAATTATTTTCAATAAAACAAAATTTACTTTTTATAAATAGAATTAAATTTTATTTTTATAATAAAAAAAGAAATTTATTACCAAAGACAAGAAACAAATTTCTTATTTTAAAAAAGGAATTTTCCTCTAAATTTAAATAAACATAAAAGAATAATAAAATAGAGAAAAAATAATTCATTTTTTTCAAAATTCAGAATTTAGAACAAAAATTAATTTATTTATCAATAGATTTACAGGCACAAAGCCCTTTGGTACTGAAAATAAATTCAATTTTGTTTAAAAAATATTTTACTTTAAAAAAAGATTTTTTTTTTTAAATTCTTTTCTGATTAATTAAGAAGAAAGTGAGGTACATATTATATATAAAATTTTTTTAAAAATCAACTTTCATTGGAAGTTATACCCTTAATAAAGAAGAAGAAAAAAATATATAATGTCAGTCTCATCAAAAAAGAAAAAGAGAATTCATCTTTTCTGATTGCAATGTTAGCTTTGTGTATTATTGCCCATTTCACTAGATGGAATTACTGTCAGTCTCTAATTAGTAATAAACCTGGCAATCTGAATTGAAAGAAAAAGAGATAAAAAATAAAAAAAAAAAGAAAAAGAATGAGAGCTACATGGGACCGTGCATTATATACAGAAAACAGTGTCGCAATAATTTATAACGATGGAATATATAAGATTGCGCAACAAACAACTTTTTGAGTATACAATCTCTTCCATTCTTAGAGGATTTTTACCTATATAATAATTATTATTTGTAAGTGGTATCTATAACTTATTTTTCAGTTCAACAATGATTATTTCGCACTACACTATATAGTTCTTTGATTCGTGGCCGATGCTCACGTCGTATAATTAATATATATTATTATTACTCTTCGTATATGGAATTAATTGCTTTCCTTTTAGAAATATAAAAGCTTCTTGGCCAAGGAGATATTTTTTTTTTTTTGTCTCAAAATATTAATTACATTCTCTTTAATAAATGGCTTTCTATTTCTTTCAGAGAAACTTTTTTTCTCGAAAAAAAAAAAATTATTAATTTCTAAAAGAAAGGTATTTAAAAATTTGTCAATTACAAAATTAAAAATCAAAAAAAAAAAAAATGATAAAATAAAAATATTTGTCAATAATAAATTTGTGGAATATTTCTTTATATTTTTTATTTTTAAAAAAATATTTTGTTTTTTGATAATTTTTTCTTGATGGAAAGCTGCTTCTTTTCCTTTCTGGAAAATAAAAACTCGACAAGAATCGAATTTTCAAACACCATAAAGGTCATTGACTTTTTGTCATTCTTTTAGATTTTCTTTTATTATTCTTTCTTTTTATTATTCTATGTTTATTTTTTTAAATTGATTCTCTTGTAATTTTTTCATTTAATTTGTTTCTATTTTTTCAAATGATTTTTTTGAATTTGTTTTTTTTATTCTTGTTTCATTTAATTTGTTTCTATTTTTTCAATTGATTTTCTTGAATTTGTTTCTATTTTTTAAAAATAATTTTCTTGACTTTGTTTATATTTGATTCTTTTATACTTGTTTTATTTTAATTTTTTTCCACTATTTTTCATTCGGATTTCTTTATAATTTTTTGTTTTTTGATTAAAAAAAATTTATTTTTAAAAAAGCAAATCTATTTTTCCTCTCAGTTTAAAATAAATTTTCTCCATTCAAAATAAGAAGATTTAAGTAATACAGGCCTCGGAACGACATATTAAGCAACAAAAAAAAGTTCCTTTACATTATGATTAAAAATTGCAAAAAGTCGATAATTTTAATTCTTAAAAAAAAAAAAAATAATGATTCGATCCAATATTTGAAAATACTATCAAATACTTAGTAAAAAATTAAAATTATATTTTCAATTATTTAATCAATTAATTGAAACTAAATTAAATAATTGAAATTATCTGTAAATATTGAATTAAAAAATCGAAACTGTTTTAAATTATTCAAAAAATTTTAAATATTTTTAATTTTTGTATCAAATAGTAAAAATTATTAATTAATCAATTGAAAATATCTTCGATTATTAAATATATTCAATTAATCAATAAAATAATTAAAATTATCTCTTAATATCAACAAAGAAGAATTATAATCTAGGAAAAAAAATTAATAAAATGATTGAAATTGTATTCAACGAATTCGAATAATTGAAATGATTTAAAAATTTTAAATCAATTAAAATTGTTTAAAACAAAATTTTTTGAATTTGTGATTTTCACTTTTTTTTGAGGACATAAAACCGGCTTTATCGTATTTAAAAAAAAAAAAGAAGACACCCCAAGGCCTGTGGCAATAGGAATCTATAGACGTAACGCGCTAGTCTATTTTAACTGCATAAAAATAATAATATTAATAATACCCTGAAACATATGACAATGAGCAGTTCAATTTCTGACAGTTTAGTTATAAAATAGCCGTGGGCAAATCACATGAGCACACTTGTTGGCCGTCATCGTTTTTCTACAATAGACATCAACCCGTCGATTAATCAGTCACGGATACAGTTGTCGGCGCGATGAGCCTGAAGACATCCTCTCAAGTCATAAAAGACATCTGTGAGTAGTGAGGCACGTAACGATACTCTTAGCATATAAGATGAGCATATTGGTGGCTCCGACGTGAGCAGTAAATATACATATATATATATATATATATATATATATATATATATATATATATATATATGTTTTCTAGAGAGTGAGAATGAGAGAACTCGATTTCACCTTATTAATATCATCAGCTCGTATAGCAATTTACATGACTTGGCAAAAGAGCAACATCGCTTATAATATGGAGGTTGAAGGACCTTTTATATAGTCAACAGTTCACGCGACACTTGGCGCTCTATTATAAGCCAAGGCTCGTTGATTTATATCAAATTGAAGATTGTTCGTTGATGGTACCGCACCCACGTTCAATGCCAAAACTTTCGACACAATATTCAAATCTTCCTGCGATCCAGGAAAGCCTTGAATACCATTTTGTAATTCATTTGCAATTCCTGATTGATAGAGGAGATTTTGTATTTGTTTTGCTGGTGTTGCTACCACTGACGATAGGGGTTGTCTTGTTTGGCGAAATTGACTAAATTGATCGAAACTTGAGGGTTGTCTCTGTTGTATTTGATTGAAATTGAAGGTATTTCTGTTTGGCGATCTGCAAATTATTATCGAAATTTAGAAAAATATTTCAAATTTATTAATATCAATATTAATATATTTATTTCATTATTTAATTTAATATTAAATATTATTTAATTTAATTATAATATTATTTAATTTAATTATAATATATTAATTTTGGTTAATAGATTTTTTTCAATATACTAATTTATAAAATTTTAAGTAAGATAATTAAAAAAACGGGGCGGTTCAAGTTCTACACATTTAGATTCTACACCGTATAAATTCTACACGTTAAATTCTACAATGTTGTATTCTACACAAGTTCAATTTTGCACAATTTATTTGTTAAATTCTACACAGTTAAATTGCACACCGACAAACTCTACACACATTCATATTTAAAAATAAAAATTAATTCGTTAAATTCCATACAGTTAAATTGTACACCGTTAAAGTCGACACACGTTTATATTTAAAAATAAAAATAATTTTGTTAAATTCTACACAGTTAAATTGAACACCATTAAACTCTGTACAAATTTGTTTAAAAAAATGATAATTATTACTATAAAATTCTACACAGTTAAATTCTACAAAATAAATTTCTTCGCAGTTTATTAGTTGTGTTAAATTCTGCACTGTTAAATTCTACACACGTTTATATAATAAAAAATATTAATTTTGTTAAATTCTACACAGTTAAATTGAACACCGTTAAATTCTGCACAAATTTATTTTAAAAAATGTAAATTATTACTGTAAAATTCTACAAAATAATTTATAAATTTTGTTAAATTCTGCACTATTAAACTCTACACACGTTTATATAATAAAAAAAAATTAATTTTGTTAAATTCTACACAGTTAAATTGAACACCGTTAAATTCTACACTAATTAGTTGTTGGATAATTAAAATTTTTTTTTAAATTCTACACAATTAAATTGCACACCGTTAAACTCTACACACGTTTATTATTTAAATATAAAAATAATTTTAATAAATTCCACAGAATTAAATTGCACACTATTAAATTCTACACAAATTTATTTTTTAAAAAATGGGAATTATTATTGTAAAATTCTACACATTCAAATTTAAACCGCTAAACTCTACACATTTTTTTATTAGAAAAATTTGATTATTTTCAAGTCTATACAGTTAAATTATTGATAAAATTATTTTTTAATTAAGCTAAGTTAAATTTAATATAACATTATCCGAATATTATTTTTTGATATATATTTGCGTTTATTTATTAACGTAAAGCTAATTTTTTTACCAAATTTATAGAACTATTTTTTAATTTCTTTCAAATTTTTTTGCTAAAATATTGTAATGCATTGCCGTTACTTTCCCACACAATAAAATTCGTTACTGTCAACGTCATTTTTAAAAAAAATTTGTGTAGAATTTAACAGTGTGCAATTTAATTCTGTGGAATTTATTAAAATTACTTTTATATTTAAATAATAAACGGGTGTAGAGTTTCACGGTGTGCAATTTACTTGTGTAGAATTTAAAAAAAAAATTTTTTAATTATCCAACAACCCTATTTAATAAATTTTAAATTAATAACAATTTTTTTTAAAAAAAAGTATTTTAGGCAATTTTTGATCTATAATATTTTTTTAAAAATAATTTTATAAATTAAATACAATAATTTTTTTATTACTCAATGATGAATTAAAAAATTAATTTAAATTTATTATTTTCAAAAAATAGCATACCCATTGTTAATGTTATTGAATCCAAAATTTCCGACTGATGCAAATGCCTCCTGTCGATTAAATCTCGTGGGTGGAACTATAGGTGGCTGAAAATCAGAAGAGAAGGGAGCAAATGTTTGTTGTTGAATTTTCTGTGGCGGTTGTTGTTTCGGTGGAAGTTGTTGCTGCTGTTGCTGTTGCGGGAACTGTTGATGAAAATTTTGCTGCTGATGAAATTGTTGCTGTTGCCTGTGTTGTTGTGCACGCAATTGATCTTGAAATTGAAACTGAAATGGAATTGCCGGAATATTTTGTGGTAATTCCAATCCAATGCTTGGCTGAAGACGAACATTATTATTATTATTATTGGTCTTCTGTTGCTTGAATGACAAAACATTGTTCTGTTCAATAGGAAGTTGTTGAAGGTGAAAATTGTTTTGTTGTTGTTGTTGCAACTGTTGAAGTCTTTGTTGATAAATTCGTTGTTCCTCCAATTGTTTCAAACGAACGTGTTCTTCAAATTGTTTTTGTCTTTGCTCGTCGAATAATTGTTTCTGTCGTTGTTCTTCGAATTGTTTTTGTCGCTGTTCTTCGTATTGTTTTTGTCGTTGTTCTTCAAATTGTTTTTGCCGTTGCTCTTCAATTTGTTTGAGTCTCGTTTGTTCCTGAAGACGTTTTAAACTCGCTTGTTCTTGATTGTAAATATCTTGTTGTTGTTTCTGTCGAACTTGTTCCTCGTAGGCCTGTTGTTGACGTAGTAAAAATTGTGTTTGTTGAATTTGTTGCTGTTGAAGATCGGCGAGTTGTTTTTCAAGTAATTTTTGCTTAAAATCCAATTGTTCTTGAAGTGTTAATGCTTGACCATCGCCTGATGGTCGATAAATTGGAACGACACTTTTGGGAATTCCTCGCTCATCCTGTTGAACTGTGAAGGCAGCGACAAGTGGTGCTTGAAATATTTTCACATCCTCAACGTCATCGTCTTTGTTTTTGGTCGATTTAGTGGCAATTCTCGAGGAAGTATTTGTTGCTGGTGACACCGTGGGACTTGAGGCTGTGGGTCTTGGTGCAACGAGAGCATTGGCGGCCGCGATACCACTACTTTCGCTCCTTATGAGAGTTTCTTTGAATTGTGTTGCCGTTGTAGATTTTGTAGTCACGGTTTCGATTTCGTTGGCCGAAGAAGGACTCGAGGATTTTAAATTTCTCGATTCTGTCTGATCCTTTTTCGATGATGATGATGATGAGTTCTCAGGAGAAATTGCATTGGTTACCTAAACGATAAAAATAGAAAAAAGAAAGTTCAAAACTGAAATTTAAAAAAAAAAATTTGTAATTTATTTAGAAACGGACAAAAAAAAATATACCTTGAGAAAATGTCTCGGTTTATCGATAATTGTCCTTAGAGTAACGGGCGAATCAGATGAGACAAATTTTTCAATTTCGATAAATGTCGAATTTTGTAATTTATCCTCGTTGGTAATTTCATCATCGCCAGAGAAATGATTAAAGGAAAATGTTGATTTTTCAAAATTTTTTTCCTCCTTCTTTGAATTTACATTGTCAATTTGAAGATTTTCCTCGGAATTATTGTTGACATGTTGCTCGGCAGATTCTGTTTCTAAATCAGTGAGAGCTCTTAAAAGTGCTCTTCGAAGTGTTTTATCTAATTTAACTGGTGGTGTTGCTGTTCCCTGAGGTATTGATGTTTTGGCTTTTAAATCATCAGTGGCTCGAGCCACTGAGATAATCACGGCGAAAAATATCACTGCGAATCTCTGAAAAAGTAAAAATGATTTTCTAATTTCAATTTGTAAATTTGTCAATTTTTCAAAGAGGCAAAAAGATATTAAGGAAGAAAATATAAATTTAATGAAAAAAAAAAAATTACTGAAATATGAGATATTAATGGATGGTATAATAAAAGATGTATTGGTTAAGAGAGTTTTCAAGTGTCTGAGAAGAAGATAAAAGAGTATAATAGATTCTAAGTATATATAATAACATGCATAAATTAGCAACAAAACGACGTTCTCTTCCTGTCTCCTTTAATAATAACTATCGCGAGTCAACGACTTTTTAACACCGCTTTTACACACCGTAAAATAAATCAGGCTTCTTAATATCAAGTTCAATACTTTTTTTTCAGAAAATTGAATCACGAAAATAATTTTTTTTTTAGCTTCAAAAATATAAATTACGAAACAGTAAATGAACATCAAAAGATGTTTTATAATTTCCATGGAATGATAAAATCACTTTTACTGTATCTAATCACATTGTGACTTTTTTTCGGAGTTTGTTAACAAGAGAGATTAAAATCGATGATCATTTCTTATTTTGTGGACATTTGAAAACTGAAATCTGTGTATATTTGTATAATAAAGTAAAGGAGAGATAAATTTATAAGGCAAAGGTCCATTCATTTGAGCATAACGTTATAAGAAGATATACATGCCTGAGGTGATTTTCTCCTTCTAAAAAGCACGACAAACATGAAACAACTACGTGCCTCATTCCTCTCTCAACAATTCAACGTTTATTATGAGCGGGAGTTTATATATATATATATATACGTTTTTACATAATAATCCCCCTATAAAAATTTTACGCAGAACATATCATCTTCCTCTGGATTTGTATATAAGGACCACTTTCTCACCAATTTTGTTCGATTTTCATACTTATTTTACTTTTTTTTCTTGCAAAATCAATCCTCAATTTCCTCATCGAAAATTCTCGAGTATTATTAATTTTCTTATTCGTAAACTGTTATTTGTAAAATCGATACATAACGTTTAATCAGAATTTACGAATGGAAAAAAAATACTCTATTAGTTTTTTATTCAAATTAGCTTCTGGTCTGTTTATTTTATTTTAAAAAATAATATAAGATTAAAATATCTTTTTCACAATTTCAAAAAAGATAATTTTTTTTTTATTCAATAAATAAATTTTCCAAAAGTCATCTAATAAGAAGGAAATGATTATGAAACAGTTAAAATAAAAAAATTAGTTTTCATTATTAAAAAAAAAATTTTTTTTTTTTATTTTTTCCATTCATACAATTTTGAAACGGATTATTGCAAAAGGTTTTCGTATATGGAGAGGAAATGGTTTTCAAAAGGCAAAATTGTTTATTAAATCTACATTGAGAGATTCTCTTTTGATTGAATTGAAGGAATTTGAATGAAAGATCCATTTATAAAAGGTATTTGAATACGTAATAGAAATGCAAGTAGAATTACTGTGTCGTTATAAGAAGTACATATATATGTGTATGTGTGGTTGGGAGGCTGATTGAAATTTGTTTCTTTTCACAATGAAACGTTAGAAGGACTACCTGTTGAACAGATAAAGGCGCGTCAGAGACAAATGTTTTCATTTTGTATCCCAACTAAACATGAGCATTGTCTACTAATGAAAACTTCTGTCATCCTAAATATGGCAAAGAGCAATTTGTTATTCAAATTGGTTTTCGCTCCTGAAATCTAGGCTTTCAATTATTTTTTCAACTTCTCTTTCTTCTTTCATTATGATTAATGAACGACTAAAACTGTCTCAAAATAGGGCCCAATAAATTAGAGTTTAAAAAAAATTTTATTTCCTCTTAACAATTAAAAAAAGATTCAGTTAATAAATTAATTTGATTTTTTATCATTTTTTTTTTCATTAAAAATATTGAAAAAATTGTAAAAAAAAATCAAAAGTAAATTATACATGAAAAATCATTAATAATAAATTAATTCGATTATTTATAATTTTTCTTAAATATATTTAAAATGTAAAAAAATAAAAAAAAAGAAAGAAATAAATTTAAAAATTGATATTAAAATATCTAAATTTAATTGAATTATAGAAAATTCGGAAATTATCAGTTTTACTATAAATAATTTTCTATTTAGATTATATAAAAAAAATAGATTCCTTTAAGAAATTCTAAAATTAAACTAAATAACTAGCAATTTATTTTGATAAATTTAAATTTAATTTAAAATTTATGCGGAGGCTTTTACTATAAGGATATATATACAAAAACCAAGTATTACGAAGGATGCTTCGAATGCGTGTTCACGCGGAAGTAAACAAGACATTCATAGTCTCACGGGAAAAAGGACAGAAAAATCTACTCGAATGAATTATGTGCAAAAGAAACTCGATGATCTTTTACACCAAGTCATTGTACATTGGTTAATTAATGCAAACTTTCCAGATTTAAAAAAAAAATAATTAATGATATTCAAAAATTTATAACAATATTATTTATTGCCTTGTCAAAAAACAAAAATCAATTCATTTCTATATCGAAATTTGCATAAATTTTCCTTTTTTTTCTCAAATTTTTCCCGGAAGTAAAATTTACTTCTGATTTTTTTTTACTAAATAATTTTAATCTCTTTTTTTTAAAAAAACATTCTCTACAATTTTATAGAGGAAATTTGTCACGTAACGGATAATTGTTTTAAAAGCGTGTGACAATAATTTATACGTTCCTCGCGTGTTTTATTCTCTAATTTCACTCTCGTATGATTATTGACGTCAATTATAGTTTTTTCATGTTTGTGGTTTTTTTTTTTCTTGAAAAATAACAATTATCATTCTACAAATAGTTATAAATTACAAATATTTGATCTATTAAACAAATTGCTTTTAATAATTGCTATAAAAAAAAAAAATAAAATAATAGAAATGATATTAGAAAGTGCTTTTAAATACTCGACGAAGAGGAAATAAAACAAGAAAATTTAATAAAGTAATTTTTTAATTTTTTTTTTTTAATTATTCTTTATATGACCCCGCCTATTTATAGGTGAAGTGGTTCACACACGTTTCTACAAATCTTGTGTGTCTTATAATATATATATATATATATACACACACGTGAACTTTCATCGCTTATTCAGAGAAATTAATCGTAAAACGATAGATTAAACGAATTCGCGAGTTTATAATGTCGTATTTGTATATAATATATAATCGAAGTAAATAAAAATTTTTATTGAGCTATGCATTCAAAAGTCAAAGATTCATGTAAAACGTCACTTTTCACGCGAGGAAAATGCGCGCGACTTGATGGAAACACGACATATTAATTAGATTAAATGCAACAGTATATTTTTTAAAATTTAATATTCTCATGAGAATTTTTTTTAAAAAAAAGGAAATTGCTCTTTTTCCATAAAAAAGCAAAATTTAATTAAATTATTTAATTTTCTTCAAAATTTATTATATAAACTAATTTTCTTGAAAATAAATATTAAACCTTTTTTTATTACTTGAACTTTGAAATTTAATTTTTCCGAAAAATGTAAATTAAGTTTCGCATTAAAAAGTAACTCTTAAAATGAAGATTGTAATTACTGTAAACAAAATTTGACCCGAGGCGTTTGATATATATATATATATATATATATATTACAAAAAGATATCGCCGCCGCCGCCTCCGCCGCCGCCGCTGTTTCAAGAATTCTTGACCTAGGAGGGGGGAGTCCCCCCTCCTAAATTTTGAGGTTATGTTCGTTTCAAGGCTCTGAATTTTGCCGCAAGTTCGCCTCCCTCCTCTCATTTCCCCTCCTCCGTCAAAAATGACCTAAATTTTGAGGTTATGTTCGTTTCAAGACTCTGAATATAGCCGCAAGTCCCCTCCCCCGCCAGAAATGACCTAATTTTGAGGTTATGTTCGTTTCAAGGCTGTGAATATAGCCGCAAGTCCCCCTCCCTCCTCTCATTTCACCTCCTCCATCAAAAATGACCTAAATTTTGAGGTTATGTTCGTTTCAAGGGTCTGAATATAGCCGCAAGTCCTTCCCCCTTCCCTCATCTCTCTCTGTATTTCCCGCCAAAAATAGGGGGGTTGGCGCGCGAAGCGCGCAGGGGGGCGTAGCCCCTCTAGTATATATATATATATATATATATATATATATAATAAAATTGAAACGAAACGATGTAATTAACACCTTGAATGATGTGGATAATTGCAATGGACTTTTGTCAACACTTCTTAAAGAGCGTTTAAAGGATATATATATATATATATATATATATATATATATATATATATATATATATATATATATATATATATATATATGAAGTTCCACTTGACGACAAGTGGTTGCATGTTTTATATAGTATATAGTTATTGCCTCACATCCCGACAGAAGCGTCTTGATTAGCATGACAGAATGTTCTTCCCACGCCGCGGAGTGAGAGAGACCACAAGGAGAGAAGATCGTTCAAGTAGGGAAAATAAACTATCCAAGTAAATTCACCAAGGAGAAAATCCTTAGCTCTGACATTTACAAAGAAAGCCACTGGCACGCTCATATAGCCGCACCCTTGGCGCCCGCTTATATACGCGAGTAAACAAAAGATCTATCTCCACATCATTTCTTTTCCGGAAAAATCACACACACATATATACATACATACCGCAAAAGAGAACATTTTTTTCCTCCACTTTTCTACGACTAGGAAGTCGTTATATTTTATCTTTTAGCGCTTAAATTCAGTAAAAATGTAGATGTTTCAACAAAATTTTGCAATTTTCCTTTTCTCAAAAATTTTTCTTTTTTCGAATCTAATTTATGGAAATTAATTCTAATTGTCATATTGGGCAAACGTTTTGTCTTTTTTTTCTATCTGAAAAATAAAATTTTTATTTTTATTATTTCAACAATTTTATCTGGAATTATTCAATTACAAATAATTAACATTTTTAATTATTCAATGAAATAATTAAAATTATTTTGAATTATTTAATTAAATAATCGAAATT